CGCACCGATATTTTCCGGAGCTCAGCCCTGGGCGGCTTCGGCTGGAATTACACCTCGCATGTATATATCCTTGGGTGGCCGGTGTAAATTCACCATCGATTCCCTCCAGTTATTTCCAATTATTGAGTCGGTGGCGTGGGGCCCCTCCCCGGAGACTTTATTAAACAGACGGAGGGGGAGGGGGGGTGTGAGAGTGCATGGTCCAGTCAAGCAAGCAAGGGGAGAGAGAGAGGAGAGAGTGGGGAGAGAGAGGGAGCGCAGGGACGTGTGCTGTTAGCTCGCATATATTATGATGATGATAATGATGATAATGATGATGATAATTTCAGCCTTTTTGTTAATCCACTACGAGATGAAGGTCTACCTACGCCGTGTCGGTCACGGGACGGGGGGGGGGGGGGGAGGGTCTTTTGACCATACTTCACCATTGCTGGCAACTATCATCGTAAAGGAAACCGACTTGGCCGGGTGGTGCTGAAGTGAATGGACGCAGGGAACCGTGATGATGGTGGTGGAATGGCGTTCACCTTCAACAACACCACCGCTACCTCGCTCGCTCGCTCGCTCTCTGAAAGGGAACGCGCTCGACAAGTCGCTTCGTTTAATTGACCTCTGTTAGAGTTGCACGGGTCCCTTTTTGCGCAAGTCGCCTCGCTTTATGGACGTGCCGTGTAATAACGTAGCTTGAATCAACACGCCTCGACGAGAAATGCGCTTTGTTTTCCCATCGCTCGACTCCGGATTCTGGAGAAGTCGATTTGTTCAGTGGATCTCGATGAAAGTAAAGAGATCTGTTTACATAAAAGTCAACGGCACTCGCTTTATTATTATTATTATTTAAATATTTAGTATGCGTTACGAAGGCCATGGGAGAAGGGTCAAATGCCCGGAACGTCGTCTATATATTATTATTATAACATATTTGTTAAGGCCACGGTGTTATTGACGAACGCGTCGAGCGAGTGAGTGTTTTTTTTAATTTAAATGTTATGTTCCATCTCTTTGAATTCCGCACTCGCTCAGCCACCACGCACGCGTCGCCCGGAACGCCCCCCCCCCCCCCCCCCCCCCCCGAACGACCGCTCCTTTTGGGTTTTTTCTTTGCTCTCATTTACGATTCGCAGTGAGAGAGGGAGAGAGACAGAGGAAAAAGGCCGCTTCTGAGTGACCCCTCCGCATTAAAACTCGCGTGCCCTGCTCGCACACCAACACTCCCGCTGATTTGTAATACGTCGCAAGCAAATGTATTCGAAAAAAATACGCTTTGTGTTTGTGTGTGTAGAGAGTGTAGCTGTTACCGCGCTGCGCTTGCGAACCCGGCGGACCGAGTTCGATTCCCGCGCACGGCCAACACCAGTGATGATTATCTGAACCGGTCTTGGGCCTCCTCTAGGTCGACTCAGACTCAAATGAATACCTGGTGCGTTGTGGAAACATCGCCACTCGGGAGACAGGCAGCCGGGCGTGGTGCTGGCCACCCAGCCCTTCACGTGTCGTGCCGGTCTTCATAGGTGCTCGCTAACAGCACTTGCACCAAGAGTCTGTTCAGGCTATAGGGGAAATCTTTGTCTTTGTCATAGAGAGCGAGACCATTTTTAATGTTATATCTAATTTACCTTTTTTGTCAGCATCAAAATAATGAAAATAATATATCAGAATAGGCAATGAAACAGGTGTTAGGATGCTCAAACACCACCTACATCAAGCCACCAAGTGCATGCACGTTCGCCAGAACTTGCATGTTTTGCCACAAATATGCGTGGTCAATGCACACTTGATGGCTTGAATTTGGCATCTATTTGGCGTCTGAACATCCTAACTCTTGTTTTAGAGGCCTATCCTTTAGTTCCCCTCCCCCCATCATTATTACTGTTACGAGCACCTAGACACAGATTGCTTGGGGAGCGTGAGGCTTGATTGCGTCAATGGATTAAAACTTGGGACTTGGGGGGGGGGGGATAATCAAGTTTTAGAAACAGGGAAAACGGTTAAAGGTGCAGCCCTGAGGTCACCCACGTGAGTTCGTCTCACGGGTGCCGTGCACGATCTTTACTATTTCGGATCGCTTACTGGACTTCCAATGAACATAGCCGTGCTGTCTATTTGGATGTGTGAGTCGTGTTTATCCAAACGTCTGTGCTTTTGTTCTACGCGGGCCCTGTAACCCCCGCCCCCCTCCCCGCGCGCTCCCACCTTTCCCGTGTAACCTACCTTCCACTTTGGCTGAGTCGCCACTGACAAAGACCTTCTGAGCACAATGGGGCCCTCTGCCCGGAATAAATTGACTCGCTTGCTCGTTGCATGGCTGGCGAAAGGGGCCTCCACGAGAGGGAGCTCTCGAATGCCCCGGACATGACTAATGTCACTCTGCAACTATGCGCGCACATCAGCTGCATGTATATAGAGACGAGCGAAGCACGTTGGCTGCGCACGGTGAGAAATAATTTCGACTTACATTCACACGCGCGCACACACACAGCCGCACAGTCGCACACACACAGCCGCACAGTCACACGCACACACACACAGCCATACAAAATACTTTTACGGCAAGTGCTGTTCGCGAACACCTCTCAAGGCCGGCACCGCACACGAGGCACCAGGTACTCACAAAGTCGACCTTGGGTCAAGATAATCGTTGTTGGAATCGAACTCGCATCACAGGGTTCTTAGCGCAGCACAATGACCACTACACTACCGCTCCCATAAGCAGCCAAACAGCCACAGACAGACAGAGATCCCCCGTATAGCCTGTAACAGACTATTGGTGCAAGTGCTGTTAGCGAGCACCTATGAAGGCTGGCACGGCGCACGAGGGGGTGGGTGGCCAACACCACGCACGGCCGCCTTTGTCTCCCCAGTGGCGATGTGTACAAATCGCACTAGGTACTGATTTTGAGGCTGAGTCGACCTAGGGGAGGCCCAGGACCGGTTCAGATAATCGTCACGGGTGTTGGCCGTGAGCGGGAATCGAACCCGGGTCGCCAGTTTCGTAGCGCAGCATTGCGCTATCCGCTACACTACCGCTCCCACACACACACACATACAGCCACACACACATTCACATAGCCACACACGCACTCACCAGGGAGGGTTCGCGCGGATTACGCAGGCAGCAGTGTCGGTGACGACTCGTGTCTCCGCGCGCCTCCACGTGCACAGAGATCACGGCACGACGCGCTCACCAATACTAATGACAGTGTGCGCAGTGTTACCGCAATGTGTGTGTGTGTGTGTGCCAGTGCCTGTGTGTGTGTGTATCGTGGGGTCTGTGCAGCGGGGGAGCGGTAGTGTAGCGGTTAGCGCACTGCGCTACGAACCTGGCGACCCGGGTTTCGATTCCCGCTCACTGTCAACACCGGTGACGATTAATCTGAACCGGTCCTGGGCCTCTTCCCTAGGTCGACTCAGCATCAAACGAGTACAGTACCTGGTGCGGTGTGTCAAACATCGATGCTCGGGAGAGAAAGGCCGCCTGGCGTGGTGCTGCTGGCCACCCGCCCCCTCGTGTGCCGTGGGGTTGAGTGGGGCGGAGGTGGGAGCGGGGACGAAGGCGAGGGGTAGTTACCCCAATAGACATTTAGTCTGCATTGAGTCACCAGTCTGTGTTCAGGGTATCATACGTGTAGGTTTTGTAACAGGTATTATGCAAACACGATGATTGCTACAGTCTCACACAGCTTGTCACGTTATTTTCATGTTTGACGCTGGTTATGCCCCCCACACCGGTTGAGGTTTTTTTTCCCGCCTATTTTAATTATTTTTACGGAAAGGGGATTTGGCAAGCCTGCGGGCCCACACGACTCCGAGTGTGCCCGATCTTGTCGGATCTTGGCAGCTAAGCAGGCTTGAGCCCGGTCGGCACATGGGATGGGTGACCGCCACCAGGGCTTGCCAGGTGTTGTAGTCGTGGTGGGGCCACGAGGTGGCCACGCTGAGTGGTGTCTCCATGCCTCCCCAGCGTGCTGCTGGGTTTTCTCCGGGTTCTCCGCTTTGCTCCTCCCACACGCAGCCAAACTCTGAGTCACGATATTGGCCACACAGCCCTAACGTAGCCAGGACCCTCTTGAAAACGAGACCCAAGGACTCGGTGAGGATTTCTTGGCTAAAGCGGCAAATAATCTGAATCGTGCGCGAGTAACACAAGCCACCCACCACATTCGTTGGGAGCGCTGCCTTATACCAGAAACATGTATCGTAGGCTGACGTTTCAGCCAATGACCCTTCTCCAGGATAGACATAGAGTGAGGTACAAGGCAGAGGGATTGACTGACTTACAATTGGAAGTCACACTTTGCACTTTTCAGGGTCATATGCGTGCATGCTGATGTTTACAAACCACGCCGGGGAGAGGCATGGAGAGGCCTTCATCTACCAGTGGATAGACCATGGCTGACGATGATCACCGCGTGGGTGGTCACGGTCGTGCTGCTGCAAAGCTCTCCGGCGGCGTTTCGTTGGGCGGTGCCATGCTTGCTCGGGACGATGTCCGACGTTCCGTTCCACGGGAGGAATTGAATTAAAAATACATTGGAGAGAGAGCGATGATGATTTATACGGTTGCTATTTGCTATTGACGTTACTTACGACCATTTACGCATGAAGGCCCCACTGAGTCCCAAGAATCTTTTTTTTCGGGAGGGTCCTGCCAAGAGTTTTGCAGGATGGGGGGGGGGGGGGGGGGGGGGTTGGACTATGCTGCTTATTGAGAATGTCTAATCACATTTGAGTAATTTTCAGTGTCATTTTTCAGCAATTGGGATATTGCTTGGCCAACACCAGTGACATGGGAGAGAGCTGGAGATCCCGGAAAGAGCCCACGCCCGAAGGGGGAGTTCATACAAACTCCACGTGGGACAGGCGCCCGAGTCGGGAATCAAACCCAGGACGCTTCTTGCTGCGAGGCGTGTGCAGTCGCCACCGCGTCACCCCGTTGTCCCGCGACGATGCCCGACTCCCTGCGCCTCTTCCCTTCTTCCCTACCGTGCCTGTGCGTGCAGGGAGCGCCTACCTGGGGGGTTCGTCCCCTTACCTGAGCTCGTACCTGGCCAGCGGACCCCCTTGCCCGGCATCGGCGGAGCCCCCCTCGTACCGCCAGGGACCGAACCCCCATGGCGCCCCGGGCATCCCTGGTCTTGCCGATTACTGGGCGGCACAGTCAGAAGGTGAGCGGAGGTTCGCCGGTACCACGCCGTCCTTTCCACTGGCGCATACGAGCCATGCCAGGGCCGTTCTGGCCGAACCAGGCGGTTTTTTTTTTTGTTCCTTCATGCAACGAATGAGTCGATTCGCGTCCAGAGTTGCTCGTCGTGGTGCCGCGTCCTCGCGGCCATCCCCCGCAACCCCCCACCCCCCACCCCATCCCCCCCCCCCCCCAATCCGGAGAGATGGAACTCAACCGACGTCCCTCCGCATCGCCAAGTCCGTTGCGCCCCGCTCCATTACGCGGCGCGGGCAGAATCCCGGATAATTTATACGTCCCATTAACGGGGCGATGTCGGCGCCGTGCCCGCCGGCACGCAGCTCGTGGCGGTGAGGGATGCGCCGCCGCCGGGCCCCCGCCCGTGGTGATTACCGATCGCGTGGACCCGGCCGGTGGGCACGGAAATCCAACCCCCCCCCCCCCCCCCCCCCACCACCACCCCCACCCGTCTAAGTGCGCGCGGCGTTTTAGCGAAATTGCGTTTAGTTTTTTTTGTATTAATTGTGACGATAAAGCGACGCTGCCGAGGATAATCTGTCGATGCACCTTTACCGCACAGCCGCCTAGGTGCTTACGGTTCGGGGCGAATGGCCGGTAATCCATAGGAGCCCGCGGCAATTACTCACAGATGTGCCACGCGCGGTACACATTCACGCGGGCAAGATGCGCGCTTCCCCCCCCCCCCCCCCCCCGCCCGTCGGTTGAAGCCAGGCCGTCGCCGGCCGGTGCTGTTGGCGCGTGACACCTGTGAAGGTGAACGTGGCACTGCGCACGGGCGCGGGGGTTTGGTCGGCCACCGCCCCCGTGCTCTCCCCGGTGCCGATGTTTACACACGCCGCACGGGGGTACACATTTGAGGCTGAGTTGACCCAGGGGAGGCCCAGGACCGCTTCAGATATTCGTCAATGGTGGTGTTCCCGAGTGGTGATTGAACTCGGGGTCGCCGAGTTAGTAGCGTAGCGCGACAGCCGCTGCGCCGCCGCTACCCACTGTAAACAAATACATAGACAAAGATCACCTGTATAGCCTAAACAGACTGTTGGGGCAAGTGCTGGTACGGCAGACAAGGGGATGCATAGCTAACACCACCACGCCCGATCGCCGCCCGCCTTTGTCACCCTCATGGCTATGTTTACACATCGCACCGTGGACTCATTTGAGGTTGAGTGGAACTAGGGGAGGCCCAGGACCAGTTCAGATAATCGTCACTGGTGTTGGACGTGAGCGGGAATCGAACTCGGGGATCGCCGGTTTCGTCGTGCAGCGCGCTAACCGATGCACTGCCGTTCCCCCCTACTGTAAACACACACACACGCGCACAAGCGCGTACGCGCGCGGCAATATGTGTTGATACATTTTCTTCACGCGCCCACTTCATCACCTTCGTCGTAACTGGAAGTTCCTTCGCGGCACCAATTCCCCCCCCCCCCCTTTTTTATTTTATTTTATTTTGCCCGCGCGTGTATCCTGGGTGCGTTTTAATGATTATTTTGTAATATCGCTCGTTCTCCATCACAGCAGCCGCTCTCCATCACGCGGCCCCGGCTTTTCATCACTCCTGGCGGCGTCTAGATCGCGCGGCGCGTTTCTCATAATGGCATCCCGTTCTTCATCACGACGCCGGCGTTTTTTTTTTTTGTAAATGGGCGTCATAACGGGCGTCACGTGAACTTTGCTAGGGACACCTCGTCGCTGTGCGGCGAGGGTTGTTGTTGTGCTTAGCAGCCGCCCACACGGCTCCATCATGCAGCGAGGGAAAAAAGGTATTTGATCCCCTGCTGATTTTGTACGTTTGCCCACTGACAAAGAAATGATCAGTCTGTAATTTTAATGGTAGGTTTATTTGAACAGTGAGAGACAGAATAACAACAAAAAAATCCAGAAAAACGCATGTCAAAAATGTTATAAATTGATTGGCATTTTAATGAGGGAAATAAGTATTTGACCCCTCTGCAAAACATGACTTAGTACTTGGTGGCAAAACCCTTGTTGGCAATCACAGAGGTCAGACGTTTCTTGTAGTTGGCCACCAGGTTTGCACACATCTCAGGAGGGATTTTGTCCCACTCCTCTTTCCAGATCTTCTCCAAGTCATTAAGGTTTCGAGGCTGACATTTGGCAAATCGAACCTTCAGCTCCCTCCCCAGATTTTCTATGGGATTAAGGTCTGGAGACTGGCTAGGCCACTCCAGGACCTTAATGTGCTTCTTCTTGAGCCACTCCTTTGTTGCCTTGGCCGTGTGTTTTGGGTCATTGTCATGCTGGAATACCCATCCACGACCCATTTTCAATGCCCTGGCTGAGGGAAGGAGGTTCTCACCCAAGATTTGACGGTACATGGCCCCGTCCATCGTCCCTTTGATGCGGTGAAGTTGTCCTGTCCGCTTAGCAGAAAAACACCCCCAAAGCATAATGTTTCCACCTCCATGTTTGACAGTGGGGATGGTGTTCGTGGGGTCATAGGCAGCATTCCTCCAAACACGGCGAGTTGAGTTGATGCCAAAGAGCTCAATTTTGGTCTCATCTTACTACAACACTTTCACCCAGTTGTCCTCTGAATCATTCAGATGTTCATTGGCAAACTTCAGACGGGCATGTATATGTGCTTTCTTGAGCAGGGGGACCTTGCGGGCGCTGCAGGATTTCAGTCCTTCACGGCGTAGTGTGTTACCAATTGTTTTCTTGGTGACTATGGTCCCAGCTGCCTTAAAATCATTGACAAGATCCTCCCGTGTAGTTCTGGGTTGATTCCTCACCGTTCTCATGATCATTGAAACTCAACGAGGTGAGATCTTGCATGGAGCCCCATGCCGAGGGAGATTGACAGTTCTTTTGTGTTTCTGCCATTTGCGAATAATCGCACCAACTGTTGTCACCTTCTCACCAAGCTGCTTGGCAATGGTCTTGTAGCCCATTCCAGCCTTGTGTAGGTCTACAATCTTGTCCCTGACATCCTTGGAGAGCTCTTTGGTCTTGGCCATGGTGGAGAGTTTGAAATCTGATTGATTGATTGATTGCTTCTGTGGACAGGTGTTTTTATACAGGTAACAAGCTGAGATTAGGAGCACCCCCTTTAAGAGTGTGCTCCTAATCTCAGCTCGTTACCTGTATATACGACACATGGGAGCCAGAAATCTTTCTGATTGAGAAGGGGTCAAATACTTATTTCTCTCATTAAAATGCAAATCAATTTATAACATTTTTGACATGCGTTTTTCTGGATTTTCTTGTTGTTATTCTGTCTCTCACTGTTCAAATAAACCTACCATTAAAATTATAGACTGATCATTTCTTTGTCAGTGGGCAAACGTACAAAATCAGCAGGGGATCAAATACTTTTTTCCCTCACTGTATGTTCACCTGGCGGATATTATTATTATCATCATCATCATCATAATAACATACGAAGGTCTTTCTTTTCCCGGCCGTGGTGATCATGTTGGGGAAATGTGACCATGCTACCGCTGTGCTGGTCGACGTTGGTCGAACGAGATTGGTATTGGTTTTGGATCCGAAGGAATGGGGAGACAAAGGGTGATGATTGCGCGTGGTGCTGCTGGCCACATGGCCGCATTGTGCCCCGTGTCGGCATTAATAAGTGCTCGCTAACACCGCTTGCCCCAACAGTCTGTTCGACGCTATTCAGGGATGTCCATGCGCGTGTCTGCTCGTGTGCATGCGTGCACGTGCGTGTCTCCGTATGTATGTTTGCACGATTGAGCGCGTACGTATCTGCACGCGTCTGTACGTACGGTGTCTGGTTGCTCGCGAGCAGCCCTTGTCCCCAACAGGCGTGTCAAAGGCTACATGGGGGATCTTTGTCTTTTTGTCTTTCCCTTTTGCAGGACTGTCTCGTCTCTCCGCCGGAGTCTACTCCCCGTACCTCCCGCTCGTGTCGCTGGACCAGTCGCCCTCCGTGAACCCCTTCCTCGCCGCGTACGGACAGTCCCGAGTGCACGACTTGCCCAAAGGTAAACCACCCCGACTGATCGCCAAAGCCCTGGCACCTAGACGTACAGCATCCGTGCCATCGCCAGGGATGAAATTTGGCACCAAAAAAAGTTCACCCTCTCGCCTTCTTCTCTCGGCCGCATCCTGTCGCCAATCTGGATCAGCCTCCGAGGTCTCTCTGAGCGGCGCGGCACTCTGTGTGAGAGCAACGGTCCCACGGACACACGGATATCGCAGAGATACCTCTGGGAACACTTTAAGTGCCCTCTGATCCACACAGCGGTCGTCAGCACTCTCCCACTCGATTCTTCCAAACAGAGCAATGCTTGCTCTCATCACCGCTGGGTGGGCGGAGGTGGTGGTGGTGGTGGTGCTGGTGGTGCTGGTGGTGGTGGGAGGGGTGGGGAATTTAGAAAATTGCACCATAGTTCCAACAGTTGCAACCACCACCATCACCATCACTAACACCACCACCACCACCAATACCACCGCCACCACCATCATGTCCACCACCACCATCATGTCGACCACCACCACCACCACAACGACCGCCACTACCACCACCACCACCACCGAGCGACGGCGGTGGCAGTGGCCCTCTCGAGCGTAGTGGCCACTCGAGCTCGCGGCTGGCCCCGTCGAGTTGCCTCTTGCTTTGTCACTCGGACTTCAAAGGTGCCGGGAGAATGCGGTCGTTTGATGTTTTTTTTCCTTCCCGTTGAGGTGCATATTTGGGCCCTGTGATCACGTGGGGCAGCCGGAGCTGATGTGTACGGTTTCTCGTCAGGAAGGCCAAAGACTATTGCCGTGCGACGATTGGCGGAAGGAGGGACGATCACAAAATACAAAAAAGGAATCCTTTTATTTTTGTGATGACGGGGACCACGCACAGTTATTTCCGTTTTCTTCAAAAACGCACGCCGTTGACTTTTGCGGGTCGGAAAGGCTCGCCGTCATCAGTGCTCGCCGTCTCAAATGTAAGAATACTAACTGTTGTAATATTGTATTTTCGTCCGCCTTGTGTAAAGTCGCGACAGATCCGCCGGCACTGTATTTGCTCGAGAACATCGAGACGAGCGCCTACCCCGATCCCCAGAGCCCATGCACCCAAAACCTTCACACCCGCGTGGATTATTCCCGATGAAATCCTGCCAAGTAAAGTTCAAACTCGGCTTCATATTAGTCACAATTTGCTGCTCTCCCACCCCTCCCCCCATCCCCCCCTCCCCCCTTCCCCTGATTGAAACGAATCGGGGTAGGTAGCGGTACGATATAACAATTGTTATTATAACTGACATTATCCCCACCTCCATCGCTTTCCCCTGTGTACCCCACCCCCGTTCTCCTCCCCCACCACCCACCTCATCCCAGACGGCTACTACATGAGCAGCCTCTCCGCCCACGCGAGCCACGCGAGCATCGTCCCCCGCGGCGCTCCGGCCCAGCCGCCCTCCGGCCCCACACTCATCTCGTCCCGCGACACCAAGGAGGCGGCCGCCGCCGCGTGGCCGCATAAGGGCTCCGAGCGGCCGGGCCTGAGCCGCGCCGGCAAGACGGACGGCGCCGCCGCCGCCGCTGCCGCGTCGGCGCACCGGCGCGAGCGGGAGCGGGAGCGCTCCGAGAAGCGGGAGGAAGCCCGGGCGCGCTCCAAGTGCGTCATCGACCTGACGAGCGAGTCCGGGGAGGAGGGCGAACTCAGGAGTTGCAGGGGAGCGGCGGCCGCGGCCGCGGCGGCGGCGGCGGCGGCGCTGCCCGGGCAGCAGCAGCAGCAGCAGCAGAACGCGAAATTTCACCACCCCGGCTCCACTGGAAGGGAGACGTCGGGAAGCACCGGGAAGAGTGGTGCCGCCCTTCCGCCGCCGTCGTCCTCCTCCTCGTCGTTCGTTAACGGCATGGACCGGAAATGCGGCGACACGGACGCTCACGCGCAGGATAAAGGAGGCGGCCCTTACGTCACCTCGTCGTCATCGTCGTCACTGCTGTCGTCGTCGGCGTTGAGGACTCGAGCCGAGGGGCCGTCGCCCGCGAGGCTTCAGGTCACGTCTGGCAGCTTCTCAATCCACTCCTCCACGAGCTCCGCGCAGGTGGCGGCGACCGGGGGAATCGGCGGCGGCGGCGGCGGGAGCGGTGGCGGCGGCGGCGGCGGTGGTGGCGGTGGTTCGGCGCGGCACCGCGTCATCGCGCCCATGTTCGTGCCGTCGGTGGGGCACCCGAGCCCCACTCACGCCGCCGCGTACGGCGCCACCACCACCGCCACTCACCGCGATCGCGAGAGGAGGAGGGAGGCCGACGCCATCGCCGAGGGGCACGACGCCGACCCGGCAGATGCCGCGTGCGAGCAAAAGCACGACGGGGGTGGGGGCAGCGGTTCGGTGATCAAATTCGACTCCGGCGGGAGCTGCCGGAGCAGGGGCGACCACGGCGCGGGTGGCGCTGCGGACGACTCCGGCGCTTGGCTCTCGGGCGGGGGCGGGCGCGAGCACAGGGACGGGCGCTTTGAGCGTTCGCACAAAGCGCTGGCGAGGGCGCCGGCAGACACGCGGTCCGACCGGCAGTCGGACGGAGCCAGCGTCGGGGACAGGCAGGACCCCCCCCAGCCATGCCGGCGCTTCGAGCCCCCGCAAGCCAGGACGTCTGCGAGCGCTGATCAGCAGTGCCGCGGCGGCGGCGGCGGCGGCGCCATGGACCCGGACGGCAGCCTGGTGGCGGGGAGCGGCTACGGGCGCTACGGGGCGTGCGCGAGCGGCGGAGTGACGTCGGCGCCGCCGCCGCCGCTGCTCTCGTCGTCGTCCGGCCAGGGCAAAGCGAGCGGCGACTCCGCCGTCGAGTGGCCGGGCCCGGCGCTCATCAGCCGGCGATCGGTGCTGGTGCCGGGCGGCGGCGGCGGTGGCGGCGGCGGACCCGGAGCGTCCGGGGCGGCACGCGAGGGCAGCGAGCCGCCGCCGGCGCCCATCAGCCCCGAGGCGTCGGCCATGCGGGGGCTGCTGCGCTACACCGGCTCGTTCTCGCGAGAGGCCGAGGCCCGAGTGCTGGCCGGGCGACGCAGCCCCTTCGGGGGGCTCGCCAACGTCCGTGGGGCCGCTGGCGGGCATCCCCACGGGCACCCCCACGGGCACCCCCACGGGCACCCCCACGGCGCGCCGCCACCGCCCACATCGTCCTCGGCCCCTTCGTCGGCGACGGCAGCGGCGGCTCTGAGCGAGGCCACCCCGTCTCGGCGGGGAGCAGACAGGTGTGCAACCCGTGCCGCTCACCCTGCCGGTGGTTTTATCGCTCCGTCTCCATGGTGGGACGTGCCCTCGGACGAGGCTCCCTCTGCCTCTCCTCGCGACATGTCCCACCCCGAGCGCACTTGCTTTCATTCGCAGTCAACACGATGATCTGAGCGCACGCATATCCTCCCGTTGCCAATCCACGGGTTTCTCTTTCTGTCTGTCAAGGTAAACATTCCAATCGTTGTGCCTCTCGATTGCTTCTTTGCACACCTTTCTCAATTTAGTTCCAAGTTGTTTCTCGTGGCGGTTGTCGGCGTCCGTGCGACCAATCCGTACGTGACGGTAGGTGCTAAGCGCCTCCTCAAGGCTCATCGGTGTTGACGCTTCTCGTTGCTAACTTTCATTCTTCCGATCGCACTCCGACCGGCTTCCGTCTGCCCCGCCCTCTCTGTTTCATCACTTTGATGCAGCTCAGCCTTCAATAGCTGCTCTATGCACCCCTTACACTGCTGTGTGTACGTACGTATTGTTGAACTTCTTTCGCACCGCACGTAGCCAACCATGCTAATCGGAAGTGTCCCTTTAGCAGACGGTCCCTAGTTGGTTCGCGAACTTTATCCTGAGCCCAACCTGATCCCCTTCAAATATGCACATTGTCCAGTCATCTCCTGCTTGCTCTGTGACCAAGTTGTCATCACGTCGACCGTGAGATGGAGATTATTGTTCACCATTTACTTTCACGCCTTAATGCCTGCAATTTAGGGAATATTACTTTATTCTTTAATTAAGATTAAAAAAAGTCACAAGTGACTTCCCGTTCCAACGAGAATCGAGGTGGCGGTGTTAAACTCCAGTTTTACAGCCCTGATTAAGTGGTGGAAATTCCACAATCCTATGGCGGGGTGGGGAGGACAAAAACCTTCCGGTGACTTTCTCATTTTATCAACCCCCCCGGTGGGAGAGATGATGAGCTGGAGTCAAGCCCGACACCCCCCCCCCCCCCACAAACCAGGATTTGACCTGGTGACCTTCCGGTTGCGAGCCACTCGCTCCACCGCGAAGCCGCCCGGCCGTGACTGCCACTCTTCCGTGACTGCTGCGCTTCCGCTCGCAGGACTTAGGGGTTTATTCTACTCTATTATATTCTTAAATGCCAAGAATATATATCGTTTTTTTTCTCTTGAGCAAAGCTGACGATGAAATGATGATCACGGCGGCGACACTTTGGCGGGGTGTCGGATTGTTGCGCTTTGTACATATATAAAATACACTCGCACACGCACTGAATGTTTTCCCATGAATAGCAAAACCATTCCGCATTAATCTCTTTGGGTTGAGGGTATAGCGCCGGGCATGAGGTGAGGGATCATGTTAGATTTAGCTGCCGGGTGAAGCAAGGATTCATCCATTGTTCCACTGCCGATTCTATTTGCGTGTTTGCAGAAGGGCGCACACAGATGTTGTGTGCTTGTTTACTGGGGCAGCTGTTTCATATGAGTAATGCTAATGATGGTGGTGGCGGCTATGATGCTGGGCGTGGCTACCCGTAATCCAACCCTGTGGAAGGCAACAACGAGGGTTGTTGGATCACCGCACACAATCGTTGTGAAACTCACTTCCCCTGGGAGTTGATGAGGTGCCGTACCCTGGCTCGCTAGCAGGAGGCAGTGCAGCAAGTGGACTAATCGCCATCTGTTTCCATTTGTATGGAGTTAGAGTGAAACATTACCAATATTGTATTTTTTGTTCTTAAAGGGGCCACAGTGGTATTACTCAATGCATCTTTGGTGCCTCTAATGACAATCATGATGAAAAAAAAAATGGAATTCATATATATACACATAATATAAATAATATAAATGGTGGAAGGATCTCCACTCGAGGGAGCTCTAGAGAGTCGCTTCCAGCGTGATGGTGTACTCTGTCTACTCTTCCACCTCTTCCAGTCCACCACACACTTTCCCTTCCCTTTTTACGCATCCATGAAAGCTTCACCGAGCCTCAGGACTCGTTTTCAAGAGGGTCCTGCTCCATTGAGATTTTTGGCCATGCATGCTATTGCAGTGAGGGTTTGGCTTCGTATTGGAGGAGGAAACCGCTGTACATGAAGGGTTTGATACCATTCAGCACTGGCACCACCCTAACAGCAGCTCACAGCCCCCGAAAATCTACAACACCTGGCAAGCCCTGGTGATGGTGGTCACCCAATCCAAGTACTCGCCCAGGGCTCAGCCGAGTGCGATCGTCGCCTTAATGCAACGGTGGCAGCATTCTCGATTTTCATTCATTTCATAACTCTCACCTTGCCCGACGCACGGCGCACTCCGGCAATGAACGCACCGCCCGCCGTTTGCAGTGTCGCGCTCGGCCAGCGTCCTACCCCGTTTGTTGGTGTTGTTGTTAAATGTGTTTATTAGAATGTGCACTGCTTAAGCGTACCGGCACAAGACAGAGGAAAGTGGGAACAAATGACGAGGTGGACACCCACGGGCTTATCTGCCCATGGATCTTGACGATGATGATTTAAAAAACGAATTCTTGACCAACCGCGATGGGCGTCTCCCGCAGGTCGGAGCAGCCCCGCGGCCGCAGCAAGGAGGGCTCTGGCCGCGGCACCAGCGAGAGCGAGGTCCGCTGTCCACCCGTAGGCATCGCCGTCGCGCTGGCTCGCCAGCGGGTCGGTGGAGGGGGCCCTGCGACCCCCGGCGACCTCCGCGACCTCCGCGACCTCCGGGAGCAGAGGCCCCACTCGGCTACGTCAGGACTGCCCGGTACAACCCCCCGCTCCCGCTTTCGTTGACCGGTGAAGTACGGTCGAACAACTCCCTGCCGCGATCGGCGGGGCGGGGAAGCCCTGCGCCTGGCAAAGAGGTGGAGCGGTGGCACAGTGGTTAGCGGTGCCGTCTTATACGAACGCGCCAATTTCAATTTGATTTCCCAACCCACGGCCACGTCAGTGCACGGGTTATTATCTGAACCGGTCCTGGGGCCCTCGCCTAGGTCGACTCGGTCATATACGGGGAGAAAGAGGCGGTCGTGCGTGGAGGCGTCCAACGTCGCCTTGTCGTTGTGTCCACGCGTCAACACGCGCCCGCGCGTGTCGCTTGCCCCAGCGGTCTCTCAAGGCTGCATGAGTGATCTCCCCTTTTGCCTTCGTGCCTCCGTCCTCGCCGTCTCCAGGAGCTGCCCGGGGGGGTCTGGACGGCTACGACGCCGAGCGGACGGACGAGGAGCGGCCGTCCCGCGCCTCCGACGAGCGGCTGGGCTCACGGTACGAGCGGGAGCGGCACAAAGCGGCGAGCCTCAGGTGCGTAGCCACTTGGCGGGAGGGGGGGCGGGGGGCGGGGGGGGGGGTGGGGGGAACCAAACTGTCGATCGATATGATGCGGATCCTAGTTCGAGTTTTAGAGTAGTACCTGATGCATTTCGGCGTCTTATGTCAAGGTTATATCTTGTGTCAAGGTTAAGTCCTACGTCAAGGTTAAGTCTTATGGCAAGGTTAAGTCTTATGTCAAGGTTAAGTCTTATGTCAAGGTTGGGTCTTATGTCAAGGTTATATCTTGTGTCAATGTTAAGTCTTATGTCAAGGTTAAGTCTTATGTCAAGGTTAAGTCTTACGTCAAAGTTAAGTCTTATGTGAAGGTTGTCTTATGTCAAGGTTAAGTCTTATGTCAAGGTTAAGTCTTACGTCAGGGTTAAGTATTATGTCGATGTTAAGTCTTATGTCAAGGTTAAGTCTTATGTCAGGATTAAGTCTTATGTCAGGATTAAGTCTTATGTCAATGTTAAGTCTTATGTCAAGGTTAAGTCTTATGTCAATGTTAAGTCTTATGTCAATGTTAAGTCTTATGTCAGGATTAAGTCTTATGTCAGGATTAAGTCTTGTGTCAATGTTAAGTCTTATGTCAAGGTTAATTCTTATGTTAGGATTAAGTCTTATGTCAGGATTAAGTCTTATGTCAATGTTAAGTCTTATGTCAATGTTAAGTCTTAAGTCAATGTTAAGTCTTATGTCAATGTGAAGTCTTATGTCCATGTTAAGTCTAATGTCAATGTTAAGTCTTATGTCAGGATTCAGTCTTATGTCAATGTTAAGTCTTATGTCAATGTTAAGTCTTATGTCAAGGTTAAGTCTTATGTCAAGATTAAGTCTAATTTCAATGTTAAGTCTTATGTCAATGTTAAATCTTATGTCAATGTTAAGTCTTATGTCAATGTTAAGTCTTATGTCAAGGTTAAGTCTTATGTCAATGTTAAGTCTTATGTCAAGGTTGTCTTATGTCAAAGTTAAGTCTTATTTCAATGTTAAGTCTTATGTCAAGGTTATATCTTGTCAGGATTGTCTAATGTCAAGGTTAAGTCTAATGTCGAGGTTAAGTCTTACGTTACGGTTGTATTACACGAAGCCACAGACGTCAGCAGACGATTTCACACCTGGGGAGGTTAAAGTTTCCCGTGCGGTGTGTGTGATGGGTACCCACTTTTTGCCCCACCGACCCGGCTGGGCCACAACTGCCAGTCATAAAGCATGCGGCTAGTGGCTCGTTAATGTTAATTTGGCTAAGTGTGGCGTTACGAGAGGCACTTTGTGAAAGAGCAACAGACGGGAGTGGTAACTAAAGTGCTTAGCCAGATACACGTAAATACCTGTACGCGCGTGTGTGTGAGTGTGCATACATATGTGTACGTATCTGCGTGCGTGCGTGTATATTCACACACACAAGCGCCGTTGTGACGTCACCGCCGCTCAGTAGCAAATAGTGGCTGTTGTCGTTGTTATGTGGATGTGTGTGTACCTATGTGTGTACCTGTATCTGTGTGTGTACCTATATCTGCGTGCGTCGCTGTTTGCGTGTCGCTGTGTGTGTACGTGGCGAGCCGACGTCAGTGACTGATGTCTGAACTGGTCTTGGGCCTCCCGGCGGCACAAGTTCGATTCCCACGCACGGCCAACACCATTGATGAATATGTGAACCGGTTCTGGGCCTCCTCTAGGTCGACTCGGCCTGAAACGAGTGCTCAGTGCGGTGTGTAAACATCAGCACTGGGGAGACAAAGGCAGCCGAGCGTGGTGCTAGCCACCCGCCCCTTCGTGTACCGTGCTGGCCTTTGTAGGAGCTCACTCACAGCGCTTGCCCCAGCAGTCTGTTCGATGCTGTACGGGGGACCTTTGTCTTTGTGGTTGTGTTTATCGTCCAAGGTAGTAAAACTGCACGATGTGGCACCTGCCAGTTTTCGTGAGTCACTGCTCGAACAGCCTCTGTCGCTCGATCTTCTAATTGCGTCCACATCCTCCTCAAGGCGCTCCATAGACACAGCGGGCATGTTTACGCGTTGGTCAGCACGGTGAAGTATGGTCAAACAATCACCATAACCTACGCAGCATAGGGACTCCTCCCTCATTGGCTCAGGTGTGTCACGTGACCTGACCGTGCTATCGATGTCACGTCGTGAGGCGATGACCTATCTCTCGCGCTATCTGGGTGTAATTCTCTAATTTGCGTGTGTTCATTATCAGGATACCGTGGCTTCCTCCCCATCCCCCACGTGTTAAGTGCTGTGGACTATCCAGCTTCAGATATTTCACGTCAGGACCTCCCCAAGAAAAGAAAAGTCGGTTCGGCTTGGAGTAGCAATATCTATTGGCCGGTTAGGCTAGTGGCTGGTTAAGCTCATGGCTGGTTAGGACTGTTGAGATTGGTGAAGCAATCTTTTGTTGTTGTTGTAGAGCAGGTGCCCAAAGGTTCAAAACGTCAAGTGTCCAGCAGCAAACAGCAACTCTCAGAGTTGTATTAGAAACGAGTGTAACACGTTGCTTGAAATGAGCAAGTTTATGAGAACTAGGGAAGAGATATGAAGGGAGGGAATTCCAAGTTAATCTCGTGACTGGTTAAGCTAGTGGCTGGTTAAGCTAGCGGCTGGTTAAGCAAGTGACTGCAAGGGTTACTGGCGGCTGGAACTGATAGGGAGGGGAGGTTGCAGCTGACAGAGTTGGCACCATCAGCGGTCACGACGCCCTGGGAGAGCTTTCCAGCGTACCAACACTCACAGATGAGTGTGCGAGCGGTTGTGAGTGTGGGCGTGTGATTGGGTGAGTGAGCTGGCGAGTGGTTGGTTGGGCGAGCCGTTGGCCAGTTGGGTAAGCAGTTGAGTGTGTGAGTGTTTGGGTGAGTGAGTGGGCAATAGGATGAGCAGTTGGGTGAGTAACCAGGCGATAGGGTGAGCAGTTGGGTGAGCGAGCGGGTGATGGGGTGAGCAGTTGGGTTAGTGAGCAGGCAATGGGGTGAGCAGTTGGGTGAGAGAGCGGGCGATGGGGTAACCAGTTGGGTGAGCGAGCGGGTGATGGGGTGAGCAGTTGGGTGAGCGAGCGGGCAATGGGGTGAGCAGTTGGGTGAGCGAGCGGGCAATGGTTTGAGCAGTCTGGTGAGAGAGTGGGCAATGGGGTGAGCAGTTTGGTGAGAAAGTGGGTAATGGGGTGAGTGAGCAGGTGATGGGGTGAGAAGTCGAGTGAGCGAACAGCAGGCGGGGGGAATGCAAACGAACACACACACACACACGCGGTTGCCGCGAGGGGAGGTCCGGCCAAGCTTCCTCCCCCAAATTAGTCGGCAAACCGAGCAAACTTCTCACCCTGCCGCCACCGCCGCCACCGCCGCCACCGCATGCCCAGAGCTGGCAAATAACGCGAGCGCAGTCCAAATCCGTGGGGTTGCGGGTTTTGGTTGCGGGGTGACGGTGGCAGGGGGGAGATGGGGAGGAGGGATGGGGGGATGGGGCGGGCTGCATTCATAATGTGTGGTTGATGGTTATCGCGTTGGGGAAGGGTCCCTGCCGGGATCCGTTGCGTGGTGCTCCACATGTTCCCTTGCCGTGGGGAAGGCGCAGCTCTTGTTACGTCACTGGAGAAACGTCGCAACCGGCCCTTGTATTTGGACACGCGTAAATATATCTCCTTAGCAGACTGTTGGGGCAAGTGGTGTTAGCGAGCGTCTACGAAGGCCGGCACGGCACACGAGGGGTGGGTGGCCAGCACCACGCCCAACCGCCTTTGTATCCCCAGTGGCGATGCTTTTACACACTGCACCAAATACTCATTTGAGGCTGAGTCGACCGGGGGGAGGCCCAGGACCGGTTCAGATAACCGGTTCTGGTGTTAGCCATGAGCGGGAATCGAACTCGGGTCGTCGGGTTCGTAGCGCAACGGGTTAACCGCTACACACGCACTCACAGCACTTGCACCAACAGTCTGTTGTTAAGGCCGCGTGGACGATAGAGACTCTAGAATACCCCTCCCCCGCCCCCTGCCCCCGCCGCTCTCGATACAGGGACGCCGCTGGACTACCGGACCTGGGTCGTCTCGGCGCCCCCTCGCTACCGGGGCTCGACTTGGCCAAGTCCGGCCTCGGCGGCGCCGGCGGGGGCGGCCGCCTCCTGGGCGCCGGCCCGCCCGGCGCGGCGGGGGGCGTGCCGGGGCCCGGCGCCGGGCCCGCCGGGGTGGCCGGCGGGCAGTGGGTGCCGCCGCCCGACCCGTCGCACCAGCCGCCCCACATTGCGCACCACAGCTGGGTGGCGGGCGCCTGCAGCCCCTCCACCATGTGGCCCGGATCGCCCTACTACGGTAGGGGACACCCGACGCACCGCCAGTCACGCTACCGGCCACGCTATGGGCTGCACCGCTGGTCGCACTGCCAAAACCGCACTACCGGCCACACAGTGGGACGCTACTGACTGCACTACCGGCCTCACTGGCGGTCTCGCTCGCGGTCGCATTCCCGTGTGCGTTGTTAAAGTGCACACAGCCTGCCACGAGTGCCGCGGCGAGGTTGGCATGGGCGCAACCGGTGGTGCAGCGGTTGGCAAGCTGCGCCACGAACCCGGCCACACGGGTTCGATTGCCGCTCACGGCCAACACCAGCGACGAATATCTAAACCGCTCCTGGGCCTTCCTTAGGTCGACTCAGCCTCAAGTGAGTACCCGGTGCGATGTGTAAACATCGTCACCGGGGAGACAAAGGCGGTCGGGCGTGGATGCTGGGCCACCCACCCGCCTCGTGCGCCGTGCCGGCCTTAAGAGGTGCTGCTCGCTAACAGCACTTGCCCCAAACAGCCTGTTAAGGCTATTCGGGTGATCTTCGTCTTTGTTTACAGTGGATATCGGCAGCACAGTGAGTTCAATTCCCACTCGTGATCAACATCAGCGACTTGCCCCAACAGCCTCTGGGATCATTAGACCTCCTTTGCCAGTACCAAAATATAATAAAATGGTTTTCCCCTTTTTTCTGGCAACAAACTGAAAAAAAAGGGGGAAAACCCTATTATTACATTTTGGTACTGGCAAAGGAGGTCTAATGATGTAGATGCTCACCCCGAGCCCTCATTACTTTGATAATGCATTGTCTTTGAGCTGTACGCCTTCTGGCATCATCTGGTCGAGCACCAATTGGGTCGAGGCTCAAAAGAAAGCCGTCCCTTGGTGTGGATCAATCAGTTTCAAGAACAATGCATGTATTATCATAGTGTGTTTTTTGTTTGCATTTTGACTGCTGGTATTGTGGTTAATGCAGACATGAATCCTTGTAAAAGGTTTCAGTTTTGTAGCCAGAAAAAAAGGGGGAAAAACCCTATTATTATAGCCTCTGGGATCTTTGACATTGTTGTGTCTGTGTGTGTGCGTGCTCGCAGGTCTTAGCCACGCGTCCATGGCACAGGGCCTCCCCGTTGGGTACCCGCCCAGCCTCCCCGGCGCAGTGCCCATCTCCCAGAAGGGCTACCAGATCGCCCAGGACCCCCAGTCGGGCCACCTGCTGTTCATCCCCGCGGAGCCCCCGCCCCCACACTTTGGTGAGCGCGACCGATACATAATAATATATCCATAATAGACGGGGTTTTTTTGTTTTGGGTTGCATCGCGGAAATTATAAATGTGGTGTTGTGAAACCCGCCGCCACTCGGCACAGCCAACTAGTAAGGTTTGTCACGTAAACCAAACATGCCAATTAGTTACTAGTTCAGCACACCGGTATGTTAGAGAGTTAAACCCACAACATTTACAATTCGAGTACGACGTTTTAGCCGGTAATTACAACCAGCATCATCAGGCAACAGCCAAAATTATGTCGCCGCATCTCACCGCTGTGGAATTTGTAACGCGCGCGGTTATTCGCCAGGTTACTCGCCAGGGAAACCCGCAGACAAGCGGTGGTGGGGGAGGGGGGGGGGAGACGACAGTCAGAACTGGTGCCAACAATTGCCCAAGCTCTGTGATCCGATATTCGGATGTTTGGCCAACACCATTAATTGCCAGAACGCTCTATAAACAAGTTGGGGGCGACGGGCCGAAGGTCAATAACAATCGTAACGGAGAAGCAGCCGATGAACGGTGTGCATCCGAGAGGACTGCTTCCACGGGGGGAGATGGAGTGGGCGATATGGGCTCGCGCCCAGGTGCTCGCTTTGATATTGTGACACGATCGATCCGCTGCTGGACGGAGGCCTCCCCGAGGAGTCGCCGTCTCTCACGGTCCTGCAATTTCGCGATCCGCCTCTCGCTCCCCCGCGCGCGCGCGCACGCGCCTGTATCGCGTGACGTGCTGCTACTACTGCTTGTCGCCGATGCATCATTGGTATTCTTTTTTGGAGAAGGTGGCAACAGCCGACGCGGGTGAGAGGATTGCGCGGCGGTGAAGGATGGCGTTTTTAGAATAGGTAAAAAAAAAGACGCTTGCCGTGCTGAAGTGTGCGTGAGCAGCCGGTGCGTGAGCATTGACACGCAGATTGACTCCGTTTCCGTCCGCGATGGATCTTCTCTGCGCCTTGACAGCAAAAAACAAACAAACAAACAAACATAAAAACCTCAAAGCACTCGTGAACGTTACTGCTGCCTTAAAAGAAACAAATGAATGACAGGCAACATTTCGGGCAGTCACCCTTCATTATAACACATGAAGAAGGGCCATTGCCGGAACGTCGCCGATTTGATATGCAGGATATATAAAATGCAGATCGCAGTTCTGATAATCATGCTGTTTTTTGTAATTATGATATTATACGTGGTGGTGATGATGATTGTGGTAATGGTCATGCTAATCGAAGTTGTGATTGCTGATGATGATGATTATGGCAGTTCAGCCAGTGTTTCTTCTGCGTGATGAAAGCTTCTGATAATTATCGTAATAATAATCTTCCTTATCATCATCATTATGATGACGTCAACACAACACGCACACACATGGTTCCCCGTGGAAACAGATTCATCTTCTGCCCGGGCCATATTTTACTATTTAATTATAAAAAAAAGATACACATATATTCCATGAAATGTAGAATATTTTCTCCAGGATGGCTGGCAAGTGTGTCTAGCGCTGACGATCCCCTAATGCTGCTGCTGCCGCCCGTTCTTGCTCAGTGTCTATTAAACATGAATAAATAACAGCTTCTGGGTATTTGTGTATTGGCCGTGATGATCGTTGTGTGAAGGTTATTGGGCGTGATGACTCTGTCTGTGATTTCTATTTTTTTTCTGCTCCGTTTCCATCTCTTCTCTCCCTCCCGCTCTCCCTCTCTCCCCTCCCGCTCTCCCTCTCTCCGTGCAGCGCTTGCTCGCTCCGTTTCCCGTTCGCTCGCTCTCTCGCTCTCCCTACCCCTCTCTCTCTCTCTCTAACCAAACTGCGTCCACTGATCTCTGCCGTCATTAGGGGGAAATGTTTCGTGAATGGGGTCTTCACGGTCACTGTCTGCAGTTTTTAATGATGGCGCGTGCGTGTATGGGTGCGCGCACGCACGCGCGCATGCGCGCAAGTGTGCTATTGTATGCATGCTTGTACGTACATGTAGCTATGTGTGTGGTTATCCGTGTGTGTGATTATCTGTGTGTGCTTGCGTGCATGCAATAGCATATTTTTGTTTGTGTGCCTGTGTTCTTCCACCCGGCAACTCGACACACGACCAATATAAAGTGGGGAAAATCCGAAGTGGTCCTGGGCCCTCCCCTACGTCGACTCAGCCTTAAATCAGTACCCGGTGCAGTGTCAACCAACGTGGCTGGGTGTGGTGCTGGCCACATTATCTCTTCCTCCTGATAACACAGTGCTCGCCGACAACATGTTCCCCAACAGCCTTTCGAATGAAGGGTACACGGTGGGGATCTTCGGCTTTGTCGTTTACCTGCGTGTACACACGCGCGCGCGTGTGCACGTACGCGTGTGTGCGTGGGTGTACAGCGGAGTTGGTGGACCGCGCGCACACGCTGTGGCCGCCCATGTACCCCGGCGCGTCGCCCGCCTCAGCCGGCCTGCACGACGCTCCCTCGCTGCACCACTTCCTGTCGCACCAGCAGCTCCTGCAGCGGCAGCACGAGCTCATGTTCCTCCACCACCAGCACCAGCAGCTGCACCAGCAGCACCAGCAGCAGCAGGCGCTGGAAATGCACAGGAGCCTGCACGCGCAGGTTAGTGTCTCGCGCCGCGTTCCCGTGAGATTAAATAAGTTGAGCGCATTGGAACTCGACGGTGGTGGATCACAGGGTGGGTACGGGAAGGAGGGGTGGCTCGGCGTTGGGTTCATAATCTCACGGTCCCCCCCCCCCCACCCCGATCCCTCTCCCGCCAACCCCTTGTGAGGTATTTTTTTGATTGAAATATTTACCAAAGAAAACATGTTGAAGGTTTAAAATAAAAAAAATGTGCGCCCTTTTTAGAAGGTTTAGAATGTCACGACCGTCGTGCATACCCCCCACCCCACCCCAGCCTGCCCCCTTGCAGGAGTTGGTTTGATCCTCCCAGAACTAGTGGCTCAAGGGCAAGTCTAGTTGGCTAGGAGAGTCGGCACGCGGCGTTTCCATGTTTTGCCGAGTTATTCGACTCTTCGCGCGAGTTGGGCAAGGCTTTCCCAGAACTACATCCAAGCAGGGCCTGCGCTCGAGGTTGGGTTGCTGCAAAAAAATGTACTGAATGTGGAATTAAATACTCACACCGCCGACAACGTCAGCTCCCCTCTGACGTAGGGAACTCATGGCGCGAGCCTGTGACGCAAGGTTGACTTGGAAGATTCGGGCCACAGCCCACATTTGCGTTTAAGAAAATGGTAACGTTCAACTTGCAACACAGTAGTCGCTCGCTCCCGATGACAGAGACAGAACAACTCAGAGGCGCAAGGAGGAACCACGGACGAGCGGGAAAGGTAGCCAGGCTTTAAGCCAGTGCCAAAATACTTCAACGTTTCATCCAGGACTTGCCCTATTATGCTTATGTATCCTTGGATAACCGCGGAGATATTTTGGTGGATAAGTGCAGGTAATAGTATCGGATGAAAGGTGTTTTCCTGTCTAACGTGGACGATCGATCCCTCTCTCCGTGCATTCCTCCTCTCTCGCCCTCTCTCCGCGCGTGTCACAGGAACAGCAGATGTCATCGGCTGAGCTCCGTGGTGGCGGCGGAGGTGGCGGCACCATCGATCTGGACCACGACGCCCGGCCGCCCCGGGCGCCGCCAAAGTCTTCGTCGAAGCACTCGGGCGCGGCCAGGGCCCGAACCACCACGCCGGGCCTCACCGCCGCCAGTGCCCGGGAGCGCACGGCCACCATCATGGCCTCCCCCCGCGGCACACCACCGGCCTCCCCCAGGACCAGGGAGGGCGCGTCGGCGGTGGTGGCCGGGGTGTACCGGCCCAGTGACATGAGGCCGGCGAGTCCCGCGGTGGCACGGGCGACGCCGGTTCCCTCGCCGGCCGCTCCGGCCTACAACCCCTGTGCCCAGCTCGCACGCTCGCCCTCCCCTGCCCAGGAGCCCCAGGAGCAGGCTGGCGATCAGGCGAGGAGGGAGGCTTCACCCGCGTACCAGGCTCGAGTGCCAAGTAAGGAACTTTTGTTGCATTTGTTTGAGTATTTGTTCCCTTTTACGATGGAGATTTGTGTCTTTTTTTCTCTTGTGGAGATGCCCCACCGTGCTCTTGAGGTCTTCTTTCGCATTGCATCTGGGAATGAACAGACAAGTTTATAGCCGAACCGAATGTGTTGCGTTCGGTAAGTTGTAGATCTCGCCATGCACCTCCTTGCATGTAAGCGTTCTTTGGGCAATGGTCGGTGATGCGAGTGGAGGAACCACGTGAACTCATATGGAAATTTATAGACTGGCATAGGGACCACTAGACTCAAATATAGACCCACAGATCCACAAAGACTCAAAAAAGAGACCCATAGACTCGCAGAGTGAACTCCTGCTGTACAATTTAGTGTATAAGTGATAATAATTCACTACTTATGGAGGAGGTGCCTGCACCTGCCATCTGTGGTGTTATTTTCCTTCACTGAGAAAGGATATACAGGTATCCCTCGATTTACGAATGTTGGGTTTAAGAAATGTAGCATTAACGCAATTGACACACTATGGAAACTTTTCGATTAACGGAATCGAATTTCCCCGTTAACAAAATTGCACTGCGGCACGCGCCATGAGATCAAACAAGAAGCACCCGTGAGGCCGCGTCATCCATCCGCAACAGCGTCACGGTGTCGCTAACAGTAATGCTTCCACATCGCCTTTCCAGTCCATTCCAACCATGCAGATCTTTTGTTCAGTCCCATGAAAAGGTTAATTAATGTTGTTTTCAATTGATTATTATTCAGTCGTTTCAATATTCAACTTCTGGCTTATTATTATTATTTTAGTCTTGCTAAAAATCATAGTGGTATATATTGTTTAGCTTAGGAGTAGCTGGGATGACTGTCCGAAGTGCATCTCTCGTATTTTGTTTGGGGAAAAGCCGTTCCGATGTGCTGTGCTGGGAGTGGAGGTATTTTTCTGGGCCGTTGACCCAGCTGAAACTAAGCTCTGAGCAGTCGCTCACGGTCCGTTTCGTTTTATTTCCTCTTCTTTCCAAACCACAGACAAACCGGGAGACTTTGCGCTGGAGCCGGCAAATGGCGCTTTCCCGGAGGCCCCGTTCCATGCCGAGGAGGCGTCGGCCACCATCGCCGCCCCGTCTCCCGGCGAGGCGCGGCTCCACCGGCCGTTCGACTCGGCGTCGCAGTCCCGTGCGCCCCTCGCCGGCGCCGCGCCGCCGGCCTCGCCCGCCTCGCCCACCTCGCCCACCGGCTCCAGCTCCGGCGCTGGCAGGAAAGACGACGGCGGCGGCGGCGGCGACGCCGCCGCGGTCGCCCTCGTCCGATCGCATGAGGGCGACAAAGAAATCGTGGCGGAGCCCCGGAGGGGGGAGACGGCGGAGGAGGGGGAAGCACGAGCGGCGGCGGCCGTGTCGTCTCGAGAAGCGAGCCCGGCGCCGACGGCGACCGCGTTGCCACCTGCGCTCGTGAGCCGGCGAGACGCGACCTCTCCGGAACTCGAGCAGCCGGGTAGTTGCGCGGCCGCGAGCGAGGCGGTCGCGGCACCGGCGTCGTCGGAATCGCTCGCCGCACAGCTCGGCGCTGGCGCCATTGCCGCCGCCGACGCCGCCACCGCAAAACCGGCACCGGCGCCGTTGGTTGAGCAGCGCAGAGCCAAGGACGGCCGAGTCGACCCGGGTGATGTCTTCAAGGGCCACGGCGGCGAGGACGATTGCGCGGCGGCGGCGGCGCCGGCGGTCGCTCTGCTAGCGCGGCCGCGCTGCCGCGACTTCCACGACAGCCCGCTGGCGCGTCTCGCCGAGTCGCTGTGCCTCGGCTTCGAGCCCGAGGACCCCATGAGCGGCCTTAATACGCTGGTGATGGTGTGTCTCGGCAAGACAGAACCGGTGCTGGTGCCGGCGCCGGACGGGTTGGCGTGCGCGCCCGGCGCCGGCACGCCTCTGCCGTGGGACCGGCTCGCCGGGCTGCAGGGCATCTCACTGCTCAGCGAGCTGGCGCTCATGCGCATGGATGGCAAGAGCGGCACGGGGCTGACCGGTGAGAGCGTGGGGGAGGGCAGCGGGGAGGCAGTGTGTGAGAGTGTGGGGTGGGAGTGTAACCGACCATCTCTGTGTGCCTGCACGTGTCTCTCGTTGTGTACCACGATTTCTGTCTATTCATCTGCCCATTTGTCCCTCTGTCTGAGTACCAGTCCTTGTCTCCGCTTTTTGCGTCTATCTGCGCGTCTCTCCGCTTGTACGCCTGCGCATCTGCGCGTGCGTCTGCCGTTGCGTACGTACGTGTGCCTATTAATAGATCGTCCCCGTGTGTGTCTGTCTATCTGTGTCCGGCGAGTGTCTGTCATCCATCTTTACCCCTGTTTGTCCGTCCGTACGCCTGCTGGTGCATTTGTCCACGTGTCCGAACGAACACGGACTCTCCTTCCCTCCAACTGTCCGTCTGTCCTGTCCTTCTACAATGGGCTGGAGGGGAGGCGATGAGCGCTTAGACGATCCGATACGAACGAGACATGGCACCCCCCCCCCCCCCTCCTCCTCCTCCTCCTCCCCTGTCTCGACCGCCAGGCTGCTGCCAGCCGGGCGATTCGTGCGGCATCGCAGCCGCCGCCACCCCGGGGTCGCGACGTCGCGCCTCGGCCCTGCAGGTGCTGCTCGGCGTGGCCGGCGCGGAGTTGGCTCAGGCCGCGCGCGAGCGCGCCGCCCTCTCGGCGCTGACGCACGCTCGCGTCGTGCGTCAGTGGAACGACAAGCGCCGGAAGGTGGCGGCCTCCGCCGCCGCCGCCGCGGTGGCCCCGCCGCCGTGCTGGTGCCCCCGCAAGGAGGAGCCGGTGAGTTTGCCGGAGGGTGTCGGGGCGTACGCGCGATGGCAAACGCCGCCCCCGTACAGCCAATGACAGGCTGTTGGGGCGCGGTGCCGTCGGCGAGCGGGTGGATGGCCGCGCCATGCCGGGTTGCCTTTGTCTCCACAATGCCGAATGTGGGTTGTTGTTGTTATCAAAATGTGTGTGTCTTAGTCTATGCGGCTAACTGTAAATGTGTGTGTGGATGACACTCAAAACTCTGTATCCATCCCCCTTGACCCCCCCCCCCACTCCTGCCTGCAACCCCCCTTCCTCCTGCCGCCCTCAACAGCCGTGCCCCCTAAGGGGGGGCCCTGAGCTGCTGGAGCCGCTGGAGCTGGAGCTGCGCGTGCGCTTGGCCGAGGTTCAGCGCCGCTACCGCGACAAACAGCGCGACGTCGCTCGGCTGCAGCGCCGCCGCGACTGGCGGTGAGTCCCCGGCGCCACCGCCATTGCGCCACCACTATCGCCAGCTCACAGTTTTCGGCTCCGTAGAAGCCATGCCATGACGCAGACATCACATGCAATGAAAGCGTCTTCAGCCCCACTCCGGGCCCTGCTTGGCCCCGAGCCAGAATCAGGCTTCTTCTCACGAGGTCAGCGGCGCATCACAGTTTAGTTCTGACGCGGCTCGGCAAACGGAGCAGTGGAAAAACTAAAAAACGCTGATTATGGCGAGGGTCCAGCGCGTGCTCGGCTCGGATGTGCCAGTGGAAAAAGGGCTGTTACAGGCTACAAGTGGGATCTCTGTGTGGTGTGTGAGTGTCTATGTGTCTGTGTGCGCATGCACGCACCTCCGTCAAGGATGAGAAGCTGCGTGGTAGTGTAGCGGTTAGCGCGCTGCGGTGTTCAATTCCTGCTCACGGCCAACACCAGTGACGATTTATCTGAATCATTTCTGGGTCGACTCGGCCTCAAATGAGTAACTGGTGCGGTGTGTAAACATTGACACTTGGGAGACAAAGGCGACCGGGCGTGGTGCTGGCCACCCACCCCCTCGTGTGTTATGCCGACCTTCATAGGTGCTCGCTAATATCACTTGCCCCAACAGTCTGTTAAGGCTCTACGGGGGATATTTGTGTGCGCGCGCACCTCCGTCAGGGATGAGAAACGGCGTGGCTGCTGTGGGGCGCGACGTGGGCCCGGACGGCCGAGGAAACGGCGCCAGGCATCGAGCGGTCCCCCCTCTCCTCTCCATCGGCTCTGCGACTCCTCGGGGGGAGACAAGTGAGTGGAGCAAGCTTGCATGCTTGCAAGTGAGCGAGTGAATGGACACCATATATGTGTAAATAAAAGAGAGACGTAAATAATTAAAATACTTTGATGGGGAGTGTGCATTGTCCTCCCAAGTATTTAATTAGCTGGAGGGAAGCCAATGGGTGGCTGCCTGGGATAAATGTGTTTGCATACTTAAAAATAGTCCCTTTAGTGTTGAATTGTTTTCTCCCGAATAGCAACACAACTTGATCTTACATTTTCGTTTGTATTGGATGATATTTACGAGAAATTATTGCGTCACCCCTTAATAGACGGGATGGGCAGACAGACCGACAGACAGACATATGGATGGAATGATGGAACCTACGGACAGATGACTTGAATAACATATTACAGATGGACGGGCGGACGGACAGAGCTGTTGCACGAACAACTTTGGTTGTAAAGCGCTCAAAAACAAAGCCGGTGTTTCCGCTGCTCGATCCGCGATCGTCCCAGGGCCTCCGGCAAAGCGGCGCCGGCGCAGTCGGAGGGCGGCGAGAGCCACGAGGACGGCGATGGCGGCGACGGCAATGATGACGGCGCCGCCGCCGCGCTGCCCCCTCGACGGAAGAAACCGCGGCGCGGCGGTCGCTCCGACGCCGCTGGTGCCGGCAGGAGGCGGCGTAAGGAGCGAGAATCGGAGGGCGGCGGTGGCGGCAGCGGCGGTGGCGGCAGCGGCGGCGGCGGGAGCGGCAGCGGCGGTGGCGGGAGGCCGAAGGTGGTGGCACGGAACCCGCAGGGGGCGGCCGGCAAAGCCGCTCGTGCCGAGGTAGGGACCGCGTCGCGGGCGAGAGACGTTCGGGGGGAACCCAGTGCGGGAATCGAACTTGGCTCGCCATGTTCTCATGGCACACACTGCCGGTTTGCTGCAGAGGTGCGTGCGGGTGGAGCCCACAGGACACCCTGGTTATTACTGCTGGGATCCTGGGTGTGATTGAACTGGTTCTTCGCGTGAGTCGATGATGTCGCAGTGGTTCATGGTTCGAATGTGGCAGGCCGTGCTGGTTAATTCTGCGGGTGTATTAAGCATTCAATACGGGCCTTCTGCTTCACACTGGACATTCAAGATCACCGTGAGTGGGCCGTTGTTTTCCGGCGCCGTGGTTCAAATTTGCCAAATTAGATTCGAATTACACCGCAAATTACTCGATTGCTTTTTTGTGTTTAGTTTGTTGTCCTACCACCGCACGTACGATTAGCACGGTTGGCTACGTACGGTGCGAAATAAGTTCAACATACATGGTCCACGCCCCCCGTTCCGTGAAACACTTCGGAGGACAGCGTGGCTTTCCTGGGAGAAACAAGGGAGCACGTTGCCAGACCACTGTGCCACACTTGCCAGGGCTCTATTTACTCGCTGAGCATTCATCGCCCCCGGTTGCCCGCAGGCCGGAGTGGCTTGTGCGTGAAAGGGGGGAGGTACAGCCCCGGCGAGGGGGTGAACTTTTGCCCTTTAAATCTGCGCTCAATCAAAGGGGCGCCCTGACCAAGTCGCCCTCGTTGCCATGAAATACCAGCCGCGGCCAGGAATCCGTAGTGTTCATAATCATCATCGTTAGAATAATCACAATGATAATGATGATGAAGATAAATTAACACATTTGTAAAAAATAAAAAAAACCTGAAATGATACACTCAATTGTGGTGGGGGGTGGGGGCGAGGTAGAGCAAGTGGCATGTAAGTAGATGGTTGAGAGTTCGAATCCTGGCTGTGGTGGTTGACTCTGGGGGATGATAAAATGAGCACCACCACTTTGCTCGCCTCCACCATGGGAACGTGGAATTGCCCCAGGGCCTGGAAAACGCTGGATGAGCACCGATGCCCTGTCGTGCCTCTTTTGGAGGAGCAGGAGGAGCATTGCTTGGGATAAAAAAAACAAAAAATTCGACCGGGAAGAAATACAAATAATTAACCTTATGGGACCAACCTCCCCAACGAGGCAAAATGAACGACCTTCTTTGCAAGTGACGGCTGCTGTTGTTTGCCGGGTCGCGCAGACGGCGGTTTCACAAATGAATAGGCAAAGCGAATGAATAGATTAATCGCCAACCGCACACCCAGCACCGGCACAAACAACAGCGGCGGTCGCGGGTAAAACACGGGGCTGCACGGACGACGATGACGACGGCAACGATGATGTGCGCCGGGATCGGCGTGGTGCGGCGGGATCGGCGTCTGGGTTTGATCCCTAAATAGGGCACACCTTTCTCCGTGTAAGGTTTCTATGCTGTCCCCCCCCCCCCCCACCTGTTCTGCATGGGTTTTCCAGTTTCCCTCCCATAGTATTGAAGGGAAAATAACATTCCATATCAATTGGTGTTGGCCAAAACACGCTAATGCAGGAGCCTCCTGAAAAAACATTTGTATGGACTCTGGGTGATGGCGACAGCGATGATTACGATGATGATAACAACATCGAATGATATTTATCATTTCGATTTAAAGCTTTCGTGACTGCAATGATTCATCTTCTTTGGTTCTTTCGGTAAAGTCACGTAGAATGAGAATAAAATAATAAATTGATAAAATAAAATAACACAGTCTCGCCCCCTTCACCTGATGAAGGCCGCTTGTGTTGTGGCCGAAACGTCGTGAGAATATTATTGTGTTATTTTATTTTATCAATTTATTATTTTATTCTCATTCTACGTGACTTTACCGAAAGAACCAAAGAAGATATTTATCATGAAGATGATGACAATAATGATGATGACGATGGCTATGATGACAATGACCACGGCGATGATGATGCTGATGATGTATGTTGATGACATGTCCTCTATCCGACAGAAGCTCGCGCAGCCCAAAAAGAGAACGAAAGCAAAAAGTTCTGACACGACGTCACCATCGCCGCGCAAACCCAAGGGCCAGACTCGCTCCCCGGCGCCACCCAGCACCGCGGTGGCACCATCACCACCAACACCACAACCACCGCTGCCGCCGCCGGCAACGTCCTCATCGTCAGCTTCGGCACAACCACCATCCTCCTCCTCCTCGCCCAACTCCTCCTCCTCCTCCTCCTCGTCCCTGCCGGCGCCTGGAAAGAGCAAGAAGAAGAAGAAGAATTTTAACGACGGAGGGAAGAGGGCGGCTCTGACCTCTGGAGCTGTGAACTCTGCCCCGGGTGCGGTCACCAAGACCTCGCCGGCGAAATCTGGCAAGAAGGAGTGCACGACCACCGCCGGAGCCGGAGCCCGGGCGGGGGCGAAGGGGGCGGCAGCGGCGGCAGCCGCAGTGGAAACTGGCGCCAGAGCCAGGGCGGACGTCGCGCAGCTGGCCCCCGCCAGGCCCGATCAAGGTGAGCGCCACACGCTCACCTAATCGCTCGTGACTTGCTCACCCAGTGTCTGTCCCACATACCCACCCGCCTACTCGCTCTCTGAACCGCTCGCCCATCCGCCTACTCGCTCATTTATCGACTCAACCACCCGCCCGCCCGCCCGCCCACTCACTCTCTCACCCACTCTCCTACTAAAACACCCACCCACCCGCTCACTCTCTCGCCCACTCGCCCACTCGCTCACCAACCCAACGGACACCCACCGACCCACCCGCCCACCCTCTCACCAACTCGCCCGCCCCGCAGGCGGCGCCTCCGACTACGAGCCCGTGACCGCGGATCGCTGGCCCTCCCTCTCCACTCCCGACTTCTCCTCGGTGGCCGCCTCCAAAAACCCCTCCGCCACGACGGGCGCGGCGGCCGGCGCTGCCGCGGCGACGCCGCCGCCAACGACGACGCCGAAGAAGAAGCCGGCGCCCGCGCCGGCGCCCGCGCCGGCGCCGTCGCCAAACCCGCCCCGCGCCACCGCCAAGAGCGGCGCGCGCCGGCCGGCGCCGGGGCCCGCGCTGGCGTCGGCGATGGCGTCGGCGGCGGCGGGAAGAGGCGGCGCGCGGGGCGGCGGCACGGGCACTGCGAAGGCGCGGTCGGGAGCGAGCGGTGACACCGGCGGGAACGGCGGCGGGGCGCCCGGCGCCAAGGGTCACGCGAGGGCGGTGCGCATCGTCTACCCGGCGCGCTTCCCCGACGACAGCGACGACAGCAATGATGATGACGACGATGACGACGACGACGACGACGATGATGATGACGACGACGACGATGATGAAGAAGAGGACGATGAGGACGTGAGCTCGGTGGAATTTTACGAACGAGGTGGGTTCGGTTTTGTTGAGAGAGTGGCTTAAGTTGCTGTGTGCGTGGGTGGGTGAGCGAGTGGGTGGGTGAGCAGGTGGGTGATTGGATAAGTGGTTGGGTGAGCGGGCCAGTGAGTGGGTGAGCAGAGTGCAGTGCATGCATATATATTGTTGTACTGTACTTCTATTACCCCACGTCTATGCTCCACGCCTTCACCAACTCATTCAGTGTGGTGAAGCATGGTCACGTAACCCCCCACAACCTTCACAGTGTGGGAGAGACGGCATAGGTTGTGCATTGTGAATATTTAATTTCTGGTTCAGGATGGCTTCCTGCTCAAATGAGCCGTGGATCGGGGATGGAAATTCCACATGGCTATGGAATGGGCCTGCCTGTGCACAGGAGGGACTGCTGGTTATAATTTCGGGCTGATTTTACTTCGCCGGAGTAGAGAGATGGCACGTTTTGGAGACCGGCTCAATTATGTACATAAAAAAAATTCAATTAGCATAGCTCATTTCTGTTGCTACTGCTGCTACGTTGTGGCTGCCTGCTCTTGGATTCAACTCCCGCCCGTGATGGGCGGACGCGTGTGTTCACGTGGGGCTAATTCCATTGCGCTGCATATTAAGCATTTTGATTTTTCAAGCTAAGCCTTTCTGTGTGTGTGTGGTGCTGCTGGTGGTGATGGTGTGCAGAAAAATAACAGCAGCTGTAGGTAGCAGCAGCACAGAGGCCGACCTGGACACTCCCCAAAGGTCGGAGGAGGTGGGTGGGGGGTGTTGGGGGGGGAGTTCACTCCCAAAATGCTAAGCTTTTTTAAAGGAGGCCCTACAATAATATAAAAAAAACATTCTACGTATACTCACTGGATAAAATTGCATTTTTTTATAGTTTCAAAGAAATGGTAGGGGCAATCACCCATATTACCCAGCTCTCCACTCTCCCACCTCCCCTCGCCCTAGAATCCATCATTGGGAAAATTGAAAAAGAAAATAAAAATTCACGTCGGCTGCTTTAGTTCGGATTACGGGGCTTAGCAAAAGGACCCGCGCGCACGCACCTTGTTTGGTTAAACAAATCCACGTCGGACCTGGCTGTAATGAGGCCCCTCTGTTTTGAAAGCTGTCAAGGGAAGTATGAACACTTAATCTGCCACCGGGCCGGATTGTTACTGAATTACCTATTTACCTGGGGTTGGGTTTCTCGTGGCTTTGCCCCCTGCCTGCTACGCCCGTTCCCTGCCTTGGCTCCCGATCGCTCGCTCTCTGACTCGGCAATATTCACGATCCATGTTTGTGAATGGGGGGGGGGGCGGGGTGGGGCTGGGTGGGGAGCGGTGTCGCGTGGTCACGTTCGATTCGCCGGCCACGGCCGACTTTGTGGCCACCAGCACTGAGACCGTCAACTCTCTGCGCTTGAGAACGCAGGGATGGCCGATGCCCAGGTTCACACAAAGGGATCTGATGCCAGGAGACTCATTAACACCCAGGATTCACACTCAAGATCTGAAGCCCAGGTTCACACCCAGGATTCTGGGCGTTTGTAAGCACGTGATTTAAGCTAAAACTATTTTAACCAGGTTAGGCCCACTGAGCTGTATAGCTCTTTTTTCAGAAGCATCCTGGCCGCAAATAATAGCTCAATTAAGTGACGTATCACGCGGGAATCTACAGCAGCCAAATACTCTAAACGCGTGACGTTGATTCTCAACGTGGAGGGAAAAACCGCGAGGACACGGAGAAAATCCACGCGACCAACGGGGAAACATGCAAACTACAAATATACAGCACACATCTAACCCAAGACCTGCTGTATACCAGGCGAAGTAGTTAACATCTCCCCACCATGGTGATTATACGACTCGGGACACACAGTTGTGAATGTAAATATTCGTCGGGTTTTTTCTTTGTTAAAACCGTGGGGGTCTCGTCTCTCGATTGCCGACAAACTGCCGTAATTGCCAGGAGGGCCATTCGCTGTGTTTTGGCTGTTCCGTCAAGGCCTGAAGCCAGAACATGAAACTGGTTATGAGCCCACACACACACACCGCCCGTGTGCCTTTAAGAGAAACAATGAATGGGCGAGCGGAGACGGTGGAAGCCGTTGCACGTGCGTGTGTTTGTACGCGTGTGGGGAGCGGGAGTGGAGCGGTCCGCTTGGCCGGGCGTGATGCTGGCTAGCCACCGCCTCGTGTGCCGTTCCGGCCTTCATAGGTGCTCGCTAACAGCACTTGCCCCAAGGCTATGCGGCGGGGTCTTTGTCTCTGTATTTGCACGCACGCGTGGAGTTTGAAGCTATGACACTGCGCCGTGCAGTGCTCACTGTTTGGCAGGTGAAGACCCGGAGCTCGAATATGAGCTGCTGATTTTTTGGGCAGTCAGCCAGTGGGGTTGGCGGGTGGGTGGGGCGGGGGGGGGGCAATTGGTGGTGGGGGGCTGTGGGTGGGGGACAGGCAGTGGGGGGTGAGGTTGGGGGGGTGGTGCCTGTCAAACACCCAAGCGCCACTCGCTCCTTCGCTATAAATTTTGCAACGAGCCCCATTAAGGGCGCGCGGAGCAGAGCGCGGAGGCTCGGAGGGAGCGCACGAGCGCCGGGGAGGTACCGCTCGACTTGACCGCGGTCCAGCTTCTACCCTACCCTTCCCCCACTCCTCCCCCTCCATTCTCTTCTCGAGTCCACCCATCGCGGACCCAGAGAATGAATCTCAATGCTCTTGTCAGCTGCATAAATAAGGGGGCTCAAATGGATTGAATGAGCATCGCTGTTAGTGCCACTTATATTGGAATGGAATATTTTCCACGCCCCCCCCTCTCCCCCCTGCATTCAACTTCTTACCCCCCCCTCCCTCCTCTTCCCATACCCCCCCCCCCCACCCTCATATTTGGGTGGGCATGTATTTTCTGGAGCTCAGCCCCAGAAAGCTTTGTCTGAAATGAAGCCCTGCCTACAGACGAGACCAGTCCACACTTGTCTGAGCTGCCTTCTCCTGGCGAGCCAGGCTTATGGCTCCTTCCGGACGTCCACCCACCGGGAAGGGAGCGTGGAACGCTGGGTTGCGACCGCGTTGGAGTTGGTGATGGCGTGCAGCGTTTGCGCCGGTGGTGCCGCCGTTACAATTGGGGGGTTAACATCGGACTTTTTCTTTTTTTTGTTGTTGGGCTGGGGGTTGGCATCGCAGGTGTGGTTGGGTTGCAGTTGAGAGTTGGCACCGGAGCTGGGATTGGCACTGCGCTTGGCACGAGTGTTAGGATTGGCGTTGTGGTCGGGCGGTATCATCGCGGCTGGCCTTGGCGTCGTGGCCGGCGTTCGCCGATGTTTTTTTTTTACTCACAGCCGTTGAATTCCAAGATGATTTTCTCTGCCCGCGCGCGCGGGGGCCTTTACACTCTCGTCAGGCGCTCAACCCAGTGGGGGCGGTGGGGAGGACGGGAGGGTGGGGCGGAGGGTTAAGGTGGTAAAAAAAAGAGGAAATAAAATGCGGCGCGAGTGACTGCGTGCCGCTAATGTGCGACATCAATTAGGAGCGCAGCCTCTGTGCTCAGAAATGTCCTCAAACCATCAGGCGATGGTGAACGCGGGAAATGGTAATGGTGGCTCTCTCATTAGGAGACGCTCGTTATTACGCGACCAAATGCTTGAGTGCGGCGCGCGTGTGCGTATGTGTGCGTGTTTGTCTATGTGTGTGCGTGTTTGTCTACGTGTGTGTCTACGTGTGCGTGTGTGTATGTGTGCGTGTTTGTCTACGTGTGTGTCTACGTGTGTGTCTACGTGTGTGTCTACGTGTGTGTATGTGTGCGTGTTTGTCTACGTGTGTGTCTACGTGTGCGTGTGCGTGTGTGTGCGTGTTTGTCTACGTGTGTGTCTACGTGTGTGTGTGTGTGCGTGTGTGTATGTGTGCGTGTTTGTCTACGTGTGTGTCTACGTGTGTGTGTGTGTGTGCGTGTGTGTATGTGTGCGTGTTTGTCTACGTGTGTGTCTACGTGTGTGTGTGTGTGCGTGTGTGTATGTGTGCGTGTTTGTCTACGTGTGTGTCTACGTGTGTGTGTGCGTGTGTGTATGTGTGCGTGTTTGTCTACGTGTGTGTCTACGTGTGCGTGTGGCGGGGAGCGGCAGTGTAGCGGTAAGCGCACCGCGCTACGAACACGGCGACACGAGTTCGATTCCCGATCCCGGCCGGCACCGGTGGTGAATGTCTGAACCGGTCGTGGGCTGCCGCTAGGTCGACTCAGCCTCAAATGAGTAGCTGGTTTACGGTGCGTAGTAAAAACATCGCCGCGAGGGAGACAAAGGCGGCCGGGCGTAGTGCTGGCCTCCCATCCCCCTCTTGTGCCGTGCCGGCCTTAGTACGTGCTCGCTTAAAGCACTTGCTCAACAATCTGTTAAAGGCTATGCGGGGAATCTTTGTCTTGTATATGTATGTGTGAGCATATGCTTGTGTTTGTGTGTTTGCGATGTGCAGGGATTAAGTGTGCCTCTGCGGCTGTGGTTGTTTTTTGGGGGGATAATGATGCATTTAAAATGCATTTTAAAAGAAACTGCTGCATTCGAACGTACACGTAATTACATGATAATATTCATCCTGGGGGCGAAAAACATGAACCTACGGAATACACGCACGCGAAAGAAATGCCACTGGCTTTGCATCAAGCCACGAAACACAGCAGCGGTAATTTTAGACGCCTCTCAAATCGCGACAGCCTCCCCCGTGACGTTCTGGCGAACGCGGTGAAAAATCGGACGTCACGGTGGCGCAGTGGTTAGCACACCGCCTGCCCGGCATGGATTCCCGGTGTCGGGTAGTATCAGTCGCTTTTGTTGGTTCTTCCCTTGTGCAACTCGGGCTCTAAAAACACCAAAGGTGTGGCCAGGTGTGCGTGGTGGTGGTGGTGGTGACAAGAGTCCTCGCTTCCGAACAGCACTTGCCCCAACCATTTCTTAAAGCGTGTCGTCCTATTGTTGGGCGTTCGATTTGGCGTGTGTCGATGTGCGGTCCACGTGCGTGAGCTGCGAGGAGCGGGCGCGCAACGTTCAGCGCGCAGCGCTACGGACACGGCCACACGAGTTCGATTCCCGCTCACGGCCAACGCGGGCGACGGCTATATCTGAACCGGTCAAATGAGTACCTTGCGCGATGCTTCGGTCGAGGAGTGGTGCTGGCCTACCCACCCCAGGTGCTCGCTGACGGCACTTGCTCCAAAAGTGCGTTAAGGCTATACGGGGGATCTTTGTCTGTGGCACAATGGGCAGCGCACCGCGCTGACAGGTCCCTTGGCTTTGATTCCTCGCCAAGATACACAACCACCGTCAGTGGCACCTGAACCCACCACGGGCCTGCCCCTAGGTCTGTTCAGCCTTCAATGAGCAGCTGTTTTGCGAGAATGCAAATTAACATACCAGCACTGTGTAAAATAAATGTTGAGGCCGGGTGATATTACCCACAGCGTGTCGTACGCCATACCCACCCTTGATAGGCTCTCGCCCCACCACCCACCATGCTATTCAAGCGGCACCAGGGGGAATCTTTGTCTTTGTGTCGTATCATCACGCGGCTAAATTTAAACACGTGTGCCGCTCGTGTATACACACCTGATTCCAAAATCGCGGCGCGGGCTGGCTGCCTGCCAGATGCGGCGGGCGTAATGGCAGGAGAGAGCGAGAGGGAGCGGGCGGGGGAGAAGGGAAAAATCGTGAGCTGGTTTGTAAGGCGGCGTGTGTGACGTGTACTCGGGAGGCAGCGGGGCTGGTGGTGGTGGTGGCGATCGGGGGTGGCTGGATGCGAGGAAGGGGGTGGGTCGGGAGGATGGGGTGAGCGGTGGGTGGTGCAGAGAGAAGGGTGGGGAGATGTGTGGTATTGTACGTCATAAGTGTGGTGATTCCGTTCGTTGGGAAGTGTCTCTCTCTCGCTCTCTCTCTCTCTCGCTCTCTCTCTCATTCTCGCTCGTGTTTTGGATTTCTGCCAGCCCGGCGCGCTCGGGAGAGAGCGGACGAACGCACGCACGCGCGCATCCACACACACACACAACACACACTCACACACACACTTTCACACACACACTTTCACACACACACTTTCACACACACACTCTCACGTGCCGCGCACATTCTCGTCCGCATATCCTCACACACAACGGCATAAAACACGCAACGCATTCTCGCACGACGTGTTGACTTTTCATTAAATCAGTTGATGTATGATGATGTCGATGGTGATGATGGTGGTGAAAATCACGACGATGATGTACGTTGAACTTCTTTCGCACCGTACTTCGCCAGCCGTGCTAATTGTATGTGTGGGGGGGGAAAGACAACACACTGAATATAATGATGACGATGATGATCGTCATCGTACAAGGAAACTGATACTAACAATGCCAGCTGTGGGACATCAACTTCCCATCAACGAGGTGCAAATTATTGAAATTATTCCACGAGCGATGGAAAGTGAAGAGACAGCTGTGATTGTCACGCTCTTCTTACGGCCCTCCTGTACTCGGAGCACAAAGAGCAATCAGCTCTTTTATACAACTGATCAAATGCCAAGATAATACGTATCACGATTTGTTTTTTTTATATTCTCCACGATTTACAGAGTATTCCGTTGACAGAATTACACTCGAAGAGGACACTTTAAAAAAAGTCAGAGCCACTGTAAATGAACCTTGTCAGTCTTCTTCAATCGTTGCCCCCACCTATTCGGCGGTACTATCTCTTACACTTCTTCCGCCGTTTCCATTCAATCGACTGATAATTATTTGTTACGCGAGACACCCCCTGAGGCCAAGTTACCCAACTAGTTGTCGTGGCTGCGGGCCCGCAGCCACTGGCAACAGAGTTCCTGTTGGGGTGGAGAGGAGCCCAGCCAGCAGCCAGCCAGCAAACTGGCGGCGTGGGTGAGAGTATTTGTCACAGTGGTATGACTCAACCCTGGCTGACTCCTCCCCCCTCTGTGTTGCAGGGTTCGATTACAGCGACGACGATGAGGATGATGACGACGACGATGAAGATGACGAAGACGAGGATGACAACAGGGATGACCTCATGGACGACGAGGACGACGACGACGACGACGAGGATGAGGACGACGACGAGGACGACGAGGTGGCTGGCTCGTGTTTCCGACCCGGGATCATGGCGGGATTCGGGGGCCCTGCTCCTGGGCGGGGGGCGGCAGTCGGGGGGGGCTCCCACCGCGGGGGGGCCCCCACGGCCCCCCCTCTGCCCTCCCTGGTGCAGCTGGAAGCGAAGCAGAAAGCGCGGAAGAAGAGGGAGCGGCAGTGCATGCTGGGTATGGAAGGCGCCCGATCGCCACTGCACCACGCACATACGCACGCACGTACATCTCACGCACGGTGCGGAAGAAGTTCAACATACGTAGGTGCGTACGCGAGTGTTAGTGAACACCACTTACACAATCGCACGCAAACACACACAAACCGTATATACACACACACAAAGTTCCCCCATATTGACGTGACACTGTTGGGGCAAGTGCTGTTAGCTAGCACCTATGAAGGTACACGAGGGGGTGGGTGGCCGGCCAGCACCACGCCTGACCGCCTTTGTCTCCCTAGTGAGCGATGTCTACACACCGCACCAGGTACTAATTTGAGGCTGAGTCGACCTAGAGGAGGCCCAGCACCGGTTCAGTTAATCGTCACCGGTGTTGACCGTGAGCGGGAATCGAACTCGGATGGCCGGGTTCGTGGCGCAGCACACAAACCACTACGCTACCGCTCCCTACTCCCCACAGACACACAGACACACAGACACACACAGAACCAGGCGCGCGCGTGCCGCTAGAGCTCGTTAAAGCGTCCGTCATGGCCCGATTCCACGCACAGCGAGGCCTCGTGCCAACTCGGGTGAACGTGGTGAGGTGGGGGGTGGGAGGTGGAGCGGGTGGGGGTGATGGGGGCAAGGAGGGACGTCTGGGCAGTCATCCGGGGGAGCATTGCCAGGGGTAGCGGCGTGTGTGTGTGCGCGTGTGTGGGCGTGCGTCTGTGCGCGTGTGTGGGCGTGCGTCTGTGCGCTCCGCGTTCGTTTGCGTGTCTGTGTGTGGGGAGCGGGAGCCAAGTGGTTAGCGCACTGCGCTCACGGGGAACTCGGCCATCCTTATTCATCAGCGGGCAAATTATCTGCACCGGTTCTATCGGCTCCTTCTCGGTCGATTAATCCCGGTGCGGTCTGCAAACATCAGCACCGGGGAGACAAAGGCGGCCGGGCATGGTGCTGGACCCTAGTGTGCTGTCCCAGAATTCACAGTTGCTCACTAACAAACCGCACTTGCCCCAAAATCCTCAAAAGGCTATACTGGGCACCTTTTGTAAACGCGAATGTTTACATGCGTGTGTGTGCATGCATGCATGTGTGTGCAGTTCGCTATTGCCTGCACATGTTAACATATAACATCTGGGTCCGTCCCATCACCTTCTGACCTCTATCATTCCTCACTTCATGTGGCCTCAAAGTGTTTGGTGTGAACGCAATAACACCGGGGTGTGAGACTGCTGTGTTGCATGAGTGTGTGTGTGTGTGTCTGAATACATATGAATCTGAATATGTATTGTCTATATGTGTCTATCATTACGTGTGTGTGTATGAGTGCGTATCTTTACTTTGGGTGGTTGTGACGTAGTTACAGTAATGCTCTCCGAACCCCAGCGACCCGAGTTCAATTCCCACTCACTGCCAATAACAGTGACGAATATATAAACTGGTCCTGAGCCTCCCCTAGGTCGACTCAGCATGAAACTAGTGCCTGATGCGGTGTGTAAACATCAGCACTGGGGAGACAAAGGCGGTCGGGCGTGGTGCTGGGCACACACCCATTCCTACGTTGCTCCGTCCTTCATAACAGAACTTGCCACCGACAGTCTGTTAAGGCTTACACAGGGCATCTATGTATTTGCATAAAAGCGCACTTAGCCTGGCACAAGCGCCGTGATGACACCACGGGTGTTTGTTGTTGTTGTAAGCACGCGAGTCAAACACATTTAAAACCGCTTTCGAGAAAGCAATTGATTTCATTTAAACATTCAATAAACGATGGTCATTTTATTATTTATTTGTTTTGGGGGGGAGAGGGGGTGGCCTTAATAGGCGCTCGCAATGCAGCACTGGCCCCCCCAAAGGCTGTGCAGGGTGGGGGGGGGGGATCTTTGTTTCTCGATGTCGACGTGTCCGAGTGTGTCGTCGACGTTTCTCTTGCGTGTATCTCTGTGGGTGGTCTGAGCCAGCGGTCGTTGTTTCACTCCCGTTATTTGTCGAACTTGCTTCAATTCATGGTGGCGTCGGGTGAGGGAGGGGGGGGGGGGGGGGGGAGAGAGAGGGAAACCCTGCCAAGTTAGCGCGTGGAAATTTGTCCGAGAATTAACTGTGTGCGGAATAAAAACTCATAAAGCATTCGCTCCCTATGGGTCCGGCATCACAGCGCTCGTCTCATGACGCTCACGGGAACTTGCGCACACACACACACATCACACACACACACACATCACACACACACACATCACGCACACATCACACACACACACATCACACACACACATCACACATCACACACACACACACATCACGCACACGCGCCTCACGCACCTCCCACGCACGCGCGCACACACACTCATCAAGCACTCACGCGCACCAATACGCATCGCACACGCTCCACACGCACGCGGCGCACGCATCGCGCGCATGCGCACGCATCGCACACGCATCACACGTGCGCCGCACACACATCACACACGTGATGCACGCTCATCAATTACCACTGATGTCAGCCGTGGTCGGGAATCGAGTGTGAAAGTCGGCAGGTTCAGAGTGCAGTGCGCGAACCACCGCACTACTGCTACCATTAATTCACAAACACACTCGCACAAAAAAAAGAGCCCCAGCATAGCCTTAGCAGACTGCTGGGGAAAGTGCTGTTAGCGAGCGCCTATGAAGGCCAGCACACGAGGCAATTAGTGGGCCAACACCACACCAAACCGCCTTTGTCTCCCAGCGCTGAGGTTTACAGACCGCACCGGTTACTTATTTAAGGATGAGACTAATACGCACACACACACACACGTGTACCCACATGATCCAGTGCTGCCCACTACTCTGTGGACCAGAGGTCACTTGAAGAGATCTCAGAAGTAGTTCTATAATATCCCCCCAAGAGTATGTATAACAGAATAGTTAAGTGGTCGCTTGAATGGATATCAGAGGTATCTCTGCAGCATCTACTTCCACAGACCAATGTCTCATTTAATAAGATTGCTCTGTGACACTTCCGAATGGAAACTTTATTTCAAGACAACGATAACACAATCGGGAAAGAAGGTGAAGGAAAAATACAAAGCAATAATACTAAGTTGTAAACATAGCCTCCGTCTTTGTTTTTGCTTTATTCGTGACACCAGGCACCGATTCCCAATTTTCCGACTCGGAGGTCGACGTGAAGGTGCGAAGGACCACTCCGGCCGCCCCTCGGCCACCCAAAAAGGCCGCGCCTGTCGTCTCGCGGCCCGGCAAGAGGCCCAAGCTGCTGCCGGGCCTCTCGCGGGCTCCCGGCGCCAGCACAACTCCGCCCAAAACGTCCGTGCCAATGGCCAAGTCGGCAAAGTCGAAGCCTAGGCCTACTAAGCCGAGGGTGGCGAGGCCTCCTGCCGCACACAACGCGATGCGGGGGGATTTCGCCGATTTTGGCACGGCCGGGATGTGGACGCTTGGCGGCGGCGGTGGAGGTGGCGGTGGTGGTGGCGGTGGTGGTGGAGCGACGCTGCCCATGTCGGCTTTTCTCACCGGAGGTGGAAACGGCTCGGGCCCGGCAAGCGGAGCCAGCAAGGCGAAGATGAAAGAGAAGGCAGCGGTAAGTAAAGGACATTTAAAATAAAAAGGAATTATGACGATCATGATGATGATGATGATTGTTGTGCCCAAGGAAATGTCGTACGGTGTCATGAAAACTACCAAACTTGTAAACCAATCGCGACCGAAAATCGCGACACAGCTGATTAACGGTTCCTGTATTTGTCTCCCCGGTAGTGATGTTTACACACCGCATCAGGCTGAGTCGACCTAGGGGAGGGCCATTAACAATTCAGATAATCGTCAATGGTATTGTCCTTGAGCGGATTAGCCGGGTTCGTAGCGCAGCCCACTAACCTCTACCATACCGCTCCCCACATGCACACACACACACATGTCGTCTGACCCTACGCCTGATTGGCCATCGCCCAGCGCGGACCCCCACGTGAGCCATTGCCTTTGCCGCGCGCGACGTGAACGTTAACGGGAGTGCGTCGTCCGTGTTTCGATTCCCGCTCAGCGGAAGAAGAGCGGCAAGATGGGGACCGTGGTCGTGCCAAGCCGCGCCGGCCTCTCCCAGGCCAGCCGGCCGAGTGGCAAGCCCGGCACCAAACCCAAAGCGTCCAAGAGCAAGGGCAATTGCCGACCGGTGCGTGTGGTCACCTGCCCGTTGCCGCGCAGTCGCTCAAACGTTCGGTCGTCTCGGTCGACCGGACACCTCGGCCGCTCAGCCAATTAAGTCACCTAGCCGCTCAGCCACTCTGTTACCCAATGCCCTAGCGACTAAGGCACTCGATCACCTAGCCCCTGAGCCACGTTGTCACCTAGTCCCCTGGCCACTAGGTCAAACAGTCACCTTAGTAATTTTGTCACCAAGTCCTAAAGCAACAAGGTCACCAAGTCACCTCGCCGCTTCGCCACTTTGTCACCCATGGCCCCGGCCAGTCATTCACCTAGCCCCACAGCCATTCAATCGCACACACTCACACACACCTACAAAGTCACAGTCACAATACCCTCAAAACTGAGTTTACACAGCCCTCAGCTCAAACACCAATACGGCCAGCCGTTCATTCAGCCACCCAGCCGGCTTGTCACACAACCTAACCAATCAGCGCCCGCCAAGTGACCCAGCCATCCACACAGCCACCCAACCCAGTCCACGTGTATATCCGTACATCCGTCCACATCCAACTATCGACGCTGTGTAAGCACTCCGTGTTATTTATTCCGTTTGTGGTACGTTTCGGTGTGGGTTTAGTGTAAATTGCGTGTTGTTGTTGTTGGTGGTGGTGGTTTTGCTGTTGTTGGTTTGCACGTTTCCACGATGCACCGTCCTGTGACTGCCTTCACTGCTGACGGTCTTCGGCCGTGGCCTATGACTCTCTCTGTAACTCTCTGCAAAGGGCGATCTTCTATAGCTGCCAGCACTGCTGACGGTCTTGGGCTGTGGTCGTCCTTGTAACAGAACCGCTGAGCTCAGCTCAAAGTCCAAGTCTGAGTCACTCCGTCGCAAGTCGCCCAGTCTGTCCGCGGGTGACTCGCCGTGACACGCTGCCATCTCACCACAGCTCCCTCCTCTTGCACCTCCCTCGCCATCTCACGGCAGGTGAGCCGCACGGCCCCCACCGGCGGCACTTGCATCCGTCCGGTCGGACCGAGCGGAGGAGGAGGAGGAGGAGGTGGTGCAGGGGTCGGGCCGTGCGGTGGCGGCGTCGGTGGCAGCGTTGGTCCCGGCGGCGGCGGCGGCACCGGCAGCTCCGGCGGTGGCGGCGGCGGCGGCACCGGCGTTGGCGTGAGCCCAGCGGGCGGGGCGCGAGCGACCGTTCCGGACGGGCTCGCCGCCGCCGGCGCTGCCGGCGCGGCTGCGGCGGCGCGACCATTCGGATTCACCACCCCCGGTGGCGGGGGGAGCGGCGGAGGGGGTGGCAGCGCCACGTCGTTCTCGGACGAGGAGGACGAGGTGCCGCTCATCCGTCTGCGCGAGCGCCCGCACACGCCCGGTGAGCACCCGTGCACGTGGGCACATGGCTGTGCTCACGTATGGGGGGGGGGGGGGGGGGGGGGTTAGGATGAACATACACGCACAAAAGACAAAGATCCCCCGTATAGCCTTAGCAGGCCGTTGGGGCAAGTGCTGTTAACGAGCACCCACGGAGGCCAGCACGGCACACGAGTTGGTGGGTGGCCAGCACCACTCCCGACCGTCCATTGTCTCCCCGGTCATGATGTTTACACATCGCACCAGGTACTGATTTGTGGCCGAGTCGACCTCGGGAAGGGCCCGGTACTGGTTCAGGGAAAAGTTTCAAGATGATGAAACCGTAGAGGTGATCCTGTCTCTTACTTGTGCTGCCCTCCTCCACCTGCTGCCCCCCCCCACCCCCCAGAGCCCCCGCGCTGCTGCCTGGAGCGCTCCGACGTGCGGGATGGACTCCGCATCCTCATCCCCATGGAGGACGAGCTGCTCCACCCGGGCACCGTGCGAGCCATTCAGCCTCCCGACATGTGAGGACACGTGTGGGTGTGTGTGTGTACGCGGTTAGCGCTCTGCGCTATGAACCTGGTGGCCCGTGTTAGATTCCTGCTCACGGCCAACACCGGTGAGGATTATCTGAACCAGTCATGGGCCTCACCTAGATCGACTCAGCCTCAAATGAGTACCTGGTGTGGTGTGTAAACATCACCACTGGGCATAAAAGGCAGCCGGGCGTGGTTTTGGCCACCTACCCCCTCGTGTGCCGTGACAGCCTCCATAGGTGCTCGCTAACAGCACTTGCCCCAATAGTCCATTCCAGGCTATACGGGGGGATCTTTGTCTTTGTACGCACAATGATGTAGACAAAGATCCTCCATGTAGCCTTTAGAGGATTGTTGGGGAAAGTGCTGCTAGCGAGCACCTCTGAAGGCCAACATGGCACACCAGGGGATCGGTGGCCAACACGACACCCGGGCCGCCTTTGTCTACCGGGTGCAGATGCTCACTCACGTCACGAGGTACTCATTTGAAGCTGAGTTGACCTAGAGGATGGCCACTGATGTTGGTCTCGAGCGGGAATCGAACTCGGGTCAACGGGGCCGTCGCGTCCGGTGCTAACCACTACGCGACCGCTCCCCACCCAGCCCATGTCCCAAACAGTCAGCCATCCAGTAAACTACCCGGAAACTCGCCCAGCCATCCAGCCACCCAGTCCACGGCCCAGCGAGTCATCCCCGTCAACGTACCCAGTCGTCGCCCAGACAAACTACGAAGCCAGGCACGGAGTCCGCTGGCTAAAGCGGCCAGCGCGCCGGCGTGTTATGTGCTCGCGTGTTAACGCGCCGCGACGGGTGTGTTTGCGCGTGTGTCCGCGGCAGTTACGGCGTGGTGGTCGACGGCGAGAGGGGAAACAGGCCCCACGTCTACCCGCTCGAGCAACTGCTGCAGGAAGCGGTGGGTCATGTGCACGCACAGCGCACCCACCCGCACGAACGAACCCGCGCACGCGCGCACACACGCAAGTGCGGACGCGAGCACGTGCATGCGTGCGAAACACGAAACGCGCACGGGAAAGAACACGCAAGCGAACGCGTAAATACAAAGACGTGCGTAGACATGCGCACACACACACACAGGTACATAGACACACATGTTCACTTACACACTTGTGCACTTGGACAAGTGCACAGACACGCACATGCAAACAAGCAGTGGTGCGTGATTACACAACCAAGCATTCACATACACGTCTGCAACAGCTACAGCAGCCGCCATTCGCCACCAAGTAAAGGTGACATCACTGTAGCGCTTGTGCCAGGCTAGGTGCAATCAAAGACAAAGAACCCCCATATAATCTTAACAGACTATTGGGGCAAGTGCTGTTAGTGAGCACCTATGAAGGCCGGCACGTTCACACGAGGGGGTGGGTGGCCAGCACCACGCCGGACCACCTTTGTCTCCCTAGTGGCGATGTTTACACACCGCACCAGGTACTCATTTGAAGCTGAGTCGACCTAGGGGAGGCCCGGGACCGGTTCTGATAATCATTACTGATGTTGGCCATGAGCGGGAATCGAATTCGGGTCGCCAGGTTTGTAGCGCTGCGCACTAATTGCTACACTACCTCTCACCACAGAGATAGACACTCACACATAAACATACACAGACAAGCAGAGTCGCACAGACACACCGAAATATAAAAAAACAATCACTTAACAGATTGTTGGGGAAAGTGCTGTCAGCACACACGCACGCACACACGCACGCACGCACACACACAGACGCACACACGCAGACACACATACACGCACACATACACGCAGACACACATACACGCACACATACACGCAGACACACATACACGCACACGCCGGGAGAGGCACCGGGCTCAGTGGCGGTGTCGCCTGCGTCTCTGAGATAACGTTTCCTGTCACCACCCCGAGGGTCTCTGTGACATCCTTATTTTTTATTTTTTCATTTGACTTTTATTAATTTATTCAATTCATTCCACCTCGCCCCCCCACCGCCCCACCACCACCACCCCCCCCCACCCCCCCCCAACCACCCCCCCCCCCACCACCACCCCACCCCACTACCCCCCCGGCTTTTTTTTGTGTAATCTCAATGTGAGTTGATTGCGTTTTTATTTTTGTATTTTAACACCACCGGCGTCCACGGTGCTTTGGAGGAATCCTCGCGGCGATTCCTCGTGCGGCGGGGGCAGACGTGAATTTCCGCCGCGGACCCCCGAGTTGCTCCTGTCGTTGTTTGTTTTGTTTACTCGCACGAACACGCTGCACGGGTAAAGCAATCGTCACGGTGCCGCCGAGCGGCCGATCGGCCAGTTGCGTAGTTGTGACTCGGGCGCTTGCCCTGGCGGCGTGACAATGTTCCGGCGCATGGAGGCACGGGCAGCAATGCCAGAGGTCGCCGGTTCTATTTAGATTCCATCTCGCGACGTTGGTGCGAGATTCTTAAATCGCCCCCCGCTGCCCCTCCCCCCCCCCCCCACGCACCACCACCCCAGCCCCCAACCTGCCCACCCTCCTCCACCCCCACGAGCAGGATTTGAACTCCGAGCCTTCCAATTGCCGGCCGCCCGCTTTACCGCCGAGCACAACTTTGTGGGAACACGAGCGACGATGCCGTGGCGTAATGGTCAGCGCACAGGACTTTTGACCCAGAGGTCGCAGGGTGCAATTCGATCTCCCGGCGTGGCAGTTTTAAACATCGGTGGAAGTTTATTACACCCCCACCCCCCCTCCACCGCGCATGAACCGGGCGAGCGCCAGCGGTGTTGGCCGACAGCTCCGTACGGTGAGGTAAGGCGCGAGCTGCTCCTCCCACCTCTTCGGGCAAACGACGTCCGGCCAAGCGCGGAAGTCTCGTAGCCCCGAATACTCTCGACGAGAGTGGCCCTCCGGAGCTCCCTCGAGAGTGGCTCGAGGAGGGCCCTTCCATCCCCGGCAGCGGCGAGAGCGGGAAATTGCCCAGGGGGGGGGGGGGGGGGGGCAATTCGCGCTCGCCACCGTTGCACGCTAAACGTCGGCACACGCACGCACAGAGAGGAAAAAATCAACACAAATCATCGCCGTTATCTCTCCTCCGCGCTGAGTGGCGTCCGTGCGTGCCCAATGAGTGTGCTCTGCCACACAGCGCTAGGGCGAGAGCCTCTCAACGCAGATCTACAATTCATGAGGGGGCGGGGGGTTGGTTGGTTTGGCTGCTGGGTAGAGTGCGGGTGGAGGGCGTTGAGCGGGGGGGGGGGGGGTCCTGTTGTCTCATGGGCTAGCTGGGGGGTTCTTACTCTTTAGGGGCCCCGTACCTGTCATGTGCAGGCTCATCAGTCAAGCGCCGTGCCGCACTGCGCTTGATCGCTCGCCCTTTGCTCGCTGCGGAAGCCAAATTGGCTTTGGCGCGGTGGTATTAACTTTTCGTTGTTTTTGGTTTTCGGCTCGGCATGCGGGTCGTGCCCGTCTCCGCTGCGCATGCCCACACACACTCGCTCGTTGCGCGATAGGGCACACCGCTCCGTCATCACTGCCGGTTAGATATCATCGACGGCATTTTCTGCACGCGTGCGTTTAAGGCAGTGGGAGATGGCGCGACGGTTTGGGGTGGCCTTCATCCAACAGCGGAGAGATAATGGCTGATCACGCGCGACGACGACGACGACGACGACGACGACGACGATGGCGACGACGATCGCACGCACGTGCACTCGAACAAAGCGCACGTTCAATGGCGTGGCGTACCCCGCTGCCCGTCCGATTACGCTCTCGATCGTTTCCCACGCACGCGCGCACGCGCGCACACACACACGTGATCACGTGTTGACACCCGCGTGTGTGCGTGCGTGACCCCACAGATCCTGGACGTGAAGCCACCGTCGAGGCAGCTGCTGCCGGAGGGCGCGCGCGTGTGTGCCTACTGGAACCCCAAGTGCCCCTTCCTCTACCCGGGCACGGTGGTGCGCGGTGAGTGGGCACCCTAAGACAAAGACAGAGACCCCCCGTCTAGGCTTGAACGGACTGTTGGGGCGAGTGCCGTTAGTGAGCACCTATGAAGGTCGGCACGGCACACGAGCGGGTGGGTGGTGAGGTTTACACACCACACCAGGTACTCATTTGAGGCTGAGTCGACCTAAGGGAGGCCCCTGACCGGTTCACATAATCGTCACTGGTGTTGGCCATGAGCAGGAATCTAACACGGGCCACCAGGTTCATAGCGCAGAGCGCTAACCGCTACACTACCACTTCCCATATTATCGCGCGTACACACACACACGCACACGCGCGTGCGTACACACACACACCCACACATGTCCTCACATGAGGCTGAATGGCTCGCACGGTGCCCGGGTGACGCAGCTCGTTCTCTATAGGGATGAGGATGCGGAGTCTATCCCGCACGCCAGGTTCGTCGCGAAGCCGACTAACCGCTACACTACCACTCCGCATAAGCACACACCCACGGACGCATGGATACATGCGTCCGTGGATAGATAGTACGTAGATGCATTGCCACACCGCCCTGCAAACCCGTTAGTCCGAGTTCGATTCTCAGGCACGGCGAACAATTCATTGTTGAATTGTACCTCTGTGCTTGACTCCGCTCATCCTCCTCCCGCTAACCTCCACCACCCCCCGCCCACCGTGACCCCTGGCACAGGGACCCCCCGAGCGTGCGACTCGTCGAGTCTGATCGCGATCGAGTTTGACGACGGCGACACGGGCAAGATCGCCATCACCGACGTCCGACTCCTGCCTCCCGCCTACACGGTCACATGTAAGACGCACGCACTACGTGTGCGCCCGCTGCACACGCGCGCCACTGCACGCGCATATGCTCATGCACATTCATTCATATATATGTGCCCGTAAGCTCATGTACACTTACATTCATTCATATACATGCCCATACACTCATACACACTCACCACACTCGTTCATATACATATCCATACACTAATACACACTCGCAGAACGACCCACAAACATGCCACCCCCACCTCTCCGCCGCCTCCTCCCCCCTCCCCGTGTGTCTCCGTCTCTCCACCTCCCCGGCGCCTCCAGCCCCGTGCCGGCCGGTCAGCTCCCATCTCGCTCACTGTCTCCGTGTAAATGTCAACGCTGGTCCCAGCACACGCTAAGCCCCTGGCACTCAGGGGGGTCCACAGGGGAGCAGAGAGAGAGATGGGGTGGTAGGGAGATTTGGGGAGTAGGCTGTGGTATGATATTGAGCGTACCATGATGCCATGCGACGTGAGTGGTCGCAGGCGGGCATCTCTCTCGGGTGTGGCACGGAGCAGCATTGTGTTTCGACATGCTTTTGTAGTGTGGTTGCGGTGGGGGTATGGTGCGGTGTGTTGCAGTGGAGTGTGGCGTTTGGTGCGGTGTGATACAGTGGGGCATGACGTGCGGTGTGCCAGTGCCACGCAGCGGGGCGTGGCGTGCGGTGTTGGTGCGCTGACCCGCCGTGCCGTGCGTCTCCGTGCGTCTTCGCGCAGGCACGGAGCCCGCGCCCGCCCTGCTCCTGCACGGCAGGGACCCGCGGCGTGCCCGCAGGGTGGGCACCGGGGAGGGCGCCATGGACGGGGCCCACCCCTCCTCCACGGGCAGCGCCGCTGCCCACTCGGGCACCAAGGGCAAGGCGCGGGGCGGCAAGACAGCGAGGGCGGTGGTGAAGGCCGGCAAGCGCGGTGAGTCGCCGCGTCGTTCGCCCCGTGCGTCGCGACTCGACGCTTATCCTTTCTTAGTACATCAAATCAAGCCTCGCGTGTAAACTGCGTGGCTTCTGTGTGGCCACACCCACTCTGAACCCCTCCCCTCTACCTGGCCCCACCTGCTGTGAGAACGGACGCCACTCCTCCGTGCAGCACAGAGGAGCGGCGTCGAGGCCCTGGTGTAGCCTCCCTCATCCTCATCTTTCCCGACCCTCCGCTCCCGTTTCTCCATTCCTTTCCCATCCTTTTCCTCTCATTCCTCGTTCTTTCTCTTCTCTCTTCCCTCTCCCGTTCCATTATATTATCCCATTCATTGCCGTATCCTTCACTCTACTGCGCTGCATTACATTGCACCCGTCTTGAATTATATTGCCACCTGCGTTGCGTTGTTCTGCACCTGTGCTGCGCCGCTGTCGCCTCGTCCACTGAGCCGCGTCCCTCCCTCATTTCCCCCTGCCACAGTCAAACCACCGCGGAAGGACGCCCTGCCTGCCGACCTCCTGGTCGCCATGGCTGCGGACACGGACCTGTCGGAGGACGACGATGACGACGACGATGACGACGACGTCATTACCGGCAACATCGACGAGAAACCCGCGTCGAGACTCGGACCCTCGGCACAGCAGCAACCCCCGCTGGCGCTCAAACCCCACCGGCCGCGGCAGCCCGCGCGGACGCGCAGCGCCAAGCCCAAAGCCGCGGGGCCGTTTGCCGGCCGCGCCGACGCGCCGGCGCCAAAGCCGAAGCGGCCCACGTCCAAGGCGGCGTCGGCCAACCCGGTCGGCTTGGGACAACCGCAGCAGCAGCAGCAGCAGCAGCACCAGCAGCAGCAGCAGAGGCAGGCACCAGCAGCGACTCACGCCATCGCCTCCCCTACCTCGTCGACGTCGACGACGCCGCAGGGCTCGTCGATGTTCTCGCTGGCGTCTTTCACGCGGAGCGCCGACGGCGCCGAGGGGAGCTGCGGGAACCCGTTCCTCTCCTACCTCCCCAGCCCCGGCGCCCAGCAGCCGAGGCCCGCCGCCCGTAGCAAGGACGGCGGCGTGCCGGCGCCTTCGCCGGTCAAGGCCGGGTCGGCGACGGCCGGGGGAGCCGGCGGTAGCGGAGGCAGCGCCGCCAACGGCGGCGGCGCCAGCGGCACCGGCAACAAGCGCAAGGCCGAGCAGGAAGTTCTCATCAAGCTGGACCAGGAGGGCGTCATCTTCCCGAAGAACAAGAAGACGAAGGCGCTGATGATGCAGGAGGGGCGCAAGCTGGCCGCCGGCGATCTGGGACGATCGGGGAGCGGCGGCGGCGGCGGAGGCAACGGCGCTCCCGCCGGGCAGGTCGCGCCGGCGCTGGCGTTCAGCGGAAGTGGCGGCGCCGGCACCAAAGCGGGCACGGGGCCGGTGGGCAGCCCGCTGACCCCGTCCGTGACCCCGCTGCCGTCGGAGATCCCCGCCAAGTCGGTGCGGGTGGCGCTCCCCAAGCTGCCCGCTGGCGCGGCTGTGTACGGGTTTGGAAAATACGGCGGCGGCAGCGGCGGCGCTGACGATGAGAGGGCGGCGCAAGCACAAGGGGCGGCAGCGGCGGCGGCGGCGGCGTCTTCGTCATCGTCGTCGGCGTCCACCTCGTCGTCCCGCGCGCGGACCGAGGGGCGAGCATTCAGCGAAAGCGAGAGCGGCGGGCGCAGTGAGAGCTCCGAGAGTTCGTCCGACTCGGACACGGACGACGGCGGCGTTCGCGCGGTCGCCGCGGCGACAACGTCGTCCTCGTCGGCGGCGGCGGCGACGACGGCGGCGGTTACCCCGGTAACGGCGGCGACGTCGTCGGTCACCTCGGCAACGGCGGCGACGAGGGCCAGGACCGAGCCGTCGGCGATGGCAGCGGCGGCGGCGCCCTTCGCGTCGCGCTCCAACACCTCGTCCTCCACCTCATCCAACACCTCGTCGTCCTCGGCATCCAACTCGTCGTCGTCGTCGACGTCGACATCGTCGTCGACGTCATCGTCGTCCTCATCGTCCTCGTCGTCCGAGGGGGACGACTCGTCTTACAGCTCTGGGTCGGACTCGCCGTCCGAGGGAGAGGAGATGGAAGAGGAGGAAGAGGAGGACGGGGACGACGACGTGGACTTGGACGATGTCGATGACGAGGATGACGACGACGACGAGGACGAGGAGGACGACGATGATGATGATGACGGTGGCCGCGGGGAGGTGGGGCCGGCGTTGTCCCAGCCGCAGGGCTCGGCTCGGCAGATGGCTGACGCCAACTCCACCCCTGGTGGCGGCGGAGGAGGAGGCGGTGGACCTACCAGTAGTGGTGGAGGTGGTGGAGGTGGAGGAGGTGGTGGAGCCGATGAGGTGGGGGCGGCAGCAACATCAACGATAGCGGCCAAGTCGAAACCTAAAACAGGGTGAGGTTCGCGACCCCGGATCGTGTGACCTCAAATCGTCGCTTGCTGTAATGCACGCACGCACACGCGGCTACTCAAATTGCATGCCCAACTTAGGCCATCACCTCTCCGGGGTCATTAAAATCAGTACCACTTTTTGGGAGGGTCAGCAATGGAGGGAGGTAGACCAGACGGACTGGCTTCCTCCAAAGGAATATGATTTTTCACTGCAGAAGAGCACTTCCCAATGATAGTTTGTGCATGAGCATGCTTCACACGACTTTGACACAATTATATAATGCTATTGTTATAAAAGTGCACGTCACTCACTCGCCCACTCACTCACTCACACAACCACCCACCACCCACTCACCCACTCATTCACCCACTCGACCCACCCACCCACTCATCCACGAACTCACTCACCTCCTCCCTCACCCACTCACTCACTTTCAAACCCACTCACTTACCCACTCACCCACTAATTCACTCACCTACCTACTCACCTACTCACCCACTCACTCTCCATCCCACTCAATCGTTCACTCGCCCACCCACTCGCCCACTCACTCACCCTGCTGCTGCTGGGTGTGTCCTTGACAGTGGAGCAAGGCAGCGAGGAGTCTCGAGGAGAGAGGGCCGGGCGTCGGGGGGGCCCGCCAACAGGGAGTCCCCCGGAGGGGGACGCCGCGAGCGCCTCCCGTCCGTGGAGAACCGGCCCAAGATCGCCGCCTTCCTCCCCGTTAGACAGCTGTGGAAGTGGTCGGGGAAACCTACGCAGGTGAGCCGCGAGTAGCATGCTGCTGCTGCTCGCTCATGGTGATTATCGTGACGCTCGGTGGTGGTGGTGGTGCTGGTGGTGCTGGTGACGGCAAAATTCCACCGTTGATTCAACTGCCGTGCCAGGAGGCTGGAATTGAACCCGGCGACTTCCGGGTGTGCTGACCGTTACAACCCAGCGGCTCTGTCGTCACGAGCGGAGTATTGCGACGTCGAATTTATTCGATTTAAAATCGAGCACAACAACGTAAAACGCTCTGTTAACCGTCGCCGGTGTCGGTGCCCCGTGAGCGGGAATCGAACTTGGCTCGCCGGGGTTTTTCGCTCGGAGCGCTCACCGCTGCAACTCCCGCCACCACCTCCACCGCCTCCTCCTCCTCCGCCCCACCCCCGCAGCGGCGCGGCGTCAAGGGCAAGGCGCGCAAGCTGTTCTACAAGGCGGTGGTGCGCGGCAAGGAGACGATCCGCCTGGGGGACTGCGCCGTCTTCCTCTCGGCCGGGCGGCCCAACCTGCCCTACGTGGGGCGCATCGAGAACATGTGGGAGTCGTGGGGCAGCCACATGGTGGTGCGTGTCAAGTGGTTCTACCACCCCGAGGAGACGCGCATGGGCAAGAAGCCGGCCGACGGCAAGGTACGCCCGCCGGCGCTCGTAGTAGGCGGGGGGAGGCGGTGCGGAGCAGCGGTGCCCGGTGTGGGGGTGGAGTGGGGTGGGTGGGGCGGCTGCCCCGGGCACCCAATGGGGGTTGGCGCAGCCGCCCCCCTCGTGAGCAGCCGTCGTTGTTGTTGTTGTTGTAAACGAAGCAAGCGGCTGGCCCGGAGGGGGTCTCACGTGTGCACGTGTTTTATTGTTGTTGTTTTCTTGGTGGGGCGGTGCCGCCGCTGTAGAAGTAGGGGTCGGTGCTTTGCCCAGAGTGCCAAGCCAAGGCTGGGTGTGGAGAACCTTCGTGAAAATCCACGGTCGGCGCTTCTTTGGCGAAGGAAGTTTGGTCCGCGTCGAGCGGACAGTCGTGGGAGTTTCGTTGTCGTGCTCCTGGCACCGCGTGCCGTTTTATGCGTGCGCTTTGGTTTCCTCCCGAGTGCAGACACTGAGGAATAAAAGGAACTGGCCAAATATCGAAAAGCGATTTTTTTTTTAACGAAACGTTATTAAGCTGATTCACCTGGATAATTTGGTTGAGATGGAGCACGTAATGACACGTACGCAAAGTGGCAGGTCCCTCTCGGGACACGTGGATTCACGGAGACACTGGCATACGCCGGCAGCGGCTACTCACATACACCCATGAAATCACATAGAGACCCATCGACGTGCATATAGACCCTTATACTCGCATAGAGACCCACGAACTCACACAGGGACCCACATCTAGACTTACATCTCGAGATGCACGGACTGACAGAGAGACTTAATATGGGCCTTCCCTCCCCGAACCACCCCGCTTCATCCCCTCCCCCCTATTATTGCCTCTCAACCACCCCCCTCCCCGTCCCTCCCTTCCCTCGCTTCCCCTCTCAGGAGAGCCATTGTGTTTTGGACAAGATTTGTATTTGAGAGGGGGGGGGGGGCGAGCGAAGCTCACTTGAGCAGGCAATTTAGCGCGAATCTGAGACGGCCCCTTACCGCCGAATTACTTGGCAAACCGCCGTTGCTGCGCTCGGTCCGTGATTACGTCGCTTGCTTGCTTTCCTTTCCCCCCCCCCTCCCCGTCTCGCAAAAAAACGCATGGAAAAAAAACCCCATGTAATTTGTCTCCTCGCGGCACATGCTGCACGCGCAAAGAGGCGCGGTGGGGAGAGGCGCGGTGGGGAGAGGCGCGGTGGGGAGAGGCGCGGTGGGGAGAGGCGCGGTGGGGAGAGGCGCGGTGGGGAGAGGCGCGGTGGGGAGAGGCGCGGTGGGGAGAGGCGCGGTGGGGAGAGGCGCGGTGGGGAGAGGCGCGGTGGGGAGAGGCGCGGTGGGGAGAGGCGCGGTGGGGAGAGGCGCGTGCGCACGCGAGGGATTACGCCGAGAGACGGAGGGACGCGCGGGTTAATGGAACGCGCGCGGAGTGTAGAGGCGTTCGTATTGACCGTTGGGGGGGGGGGGGAGAGGGCTTGCTCGCGAAGGAGTGGCAGCCAACGGAGTGAGGGGTGACGCGCGGCAGGGAGGGGTGCCACTACCGCGGAGATGGAGCGGTGACACCAGCTCGTGCACAGGAGCTCGGCGAATGGTTGCGTCGTGTGAGACCGTGAGAGATGGAGGCGGCCTGGGGAGCCCTTCATCCAGCAGTGGATCGATCAAGGATGATAATGATGATATAGGTAGACACTTTGCCAATCCACTGCTGGATGAAGGCCTCCCCCATGCCCGTCACGGGGGTTATTTGACCATACTCCACCACACTCTTGAGTGGTACAGGTTATAGAGAGGCGCAGGACTAATTTAAACATCGCCTGCTACTCATGTTAGCCATGGCCAGGAATTGAACTCGGGTCACCGGGCATCACAGTGCAGTGCGCTAACCACTTACACCTCCGCTCCACCCACATAGATGCTTACCGATGACGATAGAGAGAGTGAGATAAAATACTGAAAGTGTGACCCGTCTCTGTCTGAGCAATATATATTCTTTTATATATTTTTTTTCCCTGCAGATTCACAGCTAATATTCGGCGAGAGAATTCACTGAGATTGTGCGCCCATTGACGAATGGAGAGATTGTGTTCGGATTGTTCGGTATCGGACGAATCGCAAATTAAATATCAAGTTCCCCCCACGGTGTTTATCGTTTTGGGCGGGGGGGGGGGGGCGCAGTAGACCCCCACACGGCGACCTGGACGCGCTCTCGTCCCGTCGCGACGTGCGGAGTCTTGGGCCACGGCATTTCTTTTATTCGTTTTAATGAACATGTGCGACGCGTCTTCGCGTTTTGCGCGGACGTTTCTTTCCGTGTCTTGTTTCTGTAACTTTTCTTTACGAGTTAAACTCTAAATACATTTTACAGATATGTACGTATTACCACTCTCGGTTGCTGGGTGGGGATGGTAGCGCACTGCGCTATGAACCGGGCGTCTTGAGTTCAATTCCCCCACCAGCATCAGTGGTCAGGGCCTGCTCTGGGTCGAATCAGCCTCAAATGAACACTGTCTTTTTTTCATGAGAGTCCTGCTTGTGATACGTCGACTGATTTTTCCAATGATTATCGTATTTTGATTGTAGGTCACACAGTGGCCATCGCGTGCTGATATCAGGGTCCAAATTTGGCGATTTTTTTTATTACACCGCAAAATACTGAATTGGAGATAAAGCGTAGCGATCGTCCCCCCCAACTGGCAGACTGATGTCCCAGGTCACACTTGCAAATGAGACCCATCCTTGTCTCTTGAGTTAAACAAAATGCACGTGATTGATGGGTCATTTAATTGTATTGTCCTTTTCTCTCTCCCTATTCCCTCTGTGTCTTTTCACCAACTTTTCCCTCTCCTGGAATCAAACATCAACATTATCATCATCATAACCACCGACACTGTTACCAACATCGTCATCATGACCAACTACCATGACCGTCCGATCTACACACTACCACCTTTCTCCTCCCTCCATCAACAACATCTTCACCACCGCCATTATTATCACGATCCGTCCATCTATCTATCTATCATCAACGACGCCACCACTACCACCACTACCACGATCATCACCACCACCTCGCCTTCTCCGCCCCTTCCTCTCCTTCTCCGCCCCTTCCTCTCCACCCGCCACCACTGCCTTCACCCTGCCAGCGCGCCCTCTACCAGTCGGAGCACGCCGACGAGAACGACGTGCAGACCATCTCGCACCGCTGCCAGGTGGTGAGCCTGTGCCAGTACGAGCAGATGACGCGCGGCAGCAAGCGGCACCAGCGCGACGACGACCTCTACTACCTCGCCGGCTCCTACGACCCCACGGCCGGCGTGCTGCTCGACACGCGGGGGCTGCCCATCCTCTGCTGACGCCCCCCCAAACCCCCCCCCCCCCGCCTCCCTTCCGGGAGGGAACGAAAACGCCGCCCGACGGAAGAGCTGACGAATACCGAAGAGGGCGGCGATGGTGACGACGACTTTGGGGAGCGACGCTGGACGATGGAATGCTGGAGCTTGCACCATGACCCCAATTTGGCGAGCCAACCAGCTGCTAGTTACCAGCTCCTGTGCTGGCTGACCACAGACAATGTGCCGACCAGCCACTGGTACTAATTAGCATTATCCGATAGCCCTTAACAACGAGCCATCCAGCCATCCACTTGTACTCGTACCCGCACTGACCAACACAAGCTTGTCAAATGCGTTTTAATCCCCTAACCTTCACCCTAACCAAGCAGCCAACTGTGGAAGCTAGGACAAGTCCTCCTAACTCTCCCCCCTGGCACCTTGGCCAGCTCTCTCTTCAGTGCTGAGATGTGTCGTGCCATCTGGGCCACATTGGCTGGCAGATTGATTATTTTTTTTGCTCTTTGCTCATCACACTCGCGCCTACGTTTTATATTCAGTCATCTTTGAACGGTTATTTTTTCTATTTATTTTTTATTTTCAGTTCAATGCGGACACGTAACGACGTTAATGGTGGCTTTTTTTCACCATCGTTTTGTAAAAAAAAAAATGTATTCTATGATTCATCAGAAGTGCTGTTTGACAAGGTGCCCTTAAAGTGTTTCAAGGTATTTTAAAAAATGTTAATCATTTGCAATTAAAATGTTCTATTTTTACTTGCTTATGTTTCACCGAGAATCACCATCACCGCGATTATTTTGCGGAAAATGTTCAACGTTGATTTTACAGTTTCGTGCTCAATGTTCTAATTATTATTATCTCACACAATTAATTCACAAAGTAGTATTAAAAAAGCCAACAAGCAAGGAGGGCTCATGTGATTGGCACGGAGAGTTTAGCGCGGTCGTTCTTATTCAACATTAATATATTTGTGTAAGGTTAGCTTTTTACTTTCCACCTTAGTGGTAGGACCGATGCTCCCAACGCACCCTGGACGGGCACTTGCCGAAGCCGCCCGTAACACAAGGGTCACAGGTGCACTGCTCGGGTCCTGTCAGAAAGCCCCCAGAACAAGGCGCCTTGGGCTGCCACCTTTGTTCGTCAGAGCCACGTGTTCGCTGCGTCGCAGTTTCTTCGTTGAATTCGTCGACACATCGTTCGTCGATTTTTTTTTTTGGTTTCATGTATAGGTTTGTGGACGATTGCGCGTGAGTGCGTTGATACACGAGGACCCGACCTAGGCTGGCCGTGGATATTTAACTTCTTGCCTGCGGAACGACGACCGCCGGCAGAAAGAAGTGTTTGTCGCTCGCGGCGGCGGGACTCTTATTTTGTATTCTATCGAGGACTGCCGCGCAGACTGTGGATCGGAGAGGTCCCACCGGTGCTTTTGTGGCACTGAACACAGAATTACGACGGAAACCGCGAAACGGCGACTGAGACCGGCACGTGGAATCACAAAGAACGCTTACTTTAATCCTTTGATTTGTTTTCGTTTTTTTTTTTTTTATAAAACATTGTAAATACGAGAAGATTGGCGACCTCATGATGCGTTGGCCCTACCGCCGGGGATTTTTTTGTTTTGCCGGCGGGCGGGCGGGCGGGCAGGCGAGCGGGCGAGCGGGCGCGAACCTGAGCCCGGCCCCCTCTTGTTAAGTCGACTACTTTTATTCGAATACCAAAGCACCTTCCGAGAAGCTGCTAAAGTTGAAACCGTCAACTACTGGAGACCCCCCCCCCCCCTCCCTGGGGTCGCACTGGTGCTGAACGCCCAAGGAAAAAGTTTTCACGCGGGCCGCCGTGTCCACTGCCTGCGAGTTTGATGAAGGCGGTGGTTGTGGTGTGGAACGAAAGTCTGGTGGTGGGGTGATCGGGTAATTTTGTATTATTCTTGGGTTAATTGCTTTTTGGGGAGGGGACATGAGTGGGTGATTTTGTGGGGAGGAGGAGGGGGGGGTGGAGGAAGATGTCGATGAGAGGAGGAAGACAATGAGACGGTTGAAAAACGGCACTTCTTCACTGCCGCCCGCTGCTTTCTTCAAAAGCACGATTGGGAGTGCGACAATCAGAAAACAATCGACGGACTCCGCTCTCGCCGCCCAACGTCGGACGTGGTGGACGGACGGAACCCTCCGTGTGTGTGTGTGGACACTCGTCGGGAAAGATTAGCTGGAGACTCGGTAGACTTGAACCCCATCCCCCTGCCCTCCTCCCTCCCGTGAACTTTTGCTGACGCGCCGCTGTAAACCCCAGTTGAACGTCGCTTTGTACATAAATGTTATCGTTGTGTTTGGCAGGTCTCCGACTCTTGGCGTAAAATGCTCGAACACACCGGTTGCATCTCGTCGTTCCGTGGCTTGCTGTCGACCCTCGTCACACGAAACAGACTAATAATTGCGAAGCGTGTAAAAATAAAAAAAAGGAGAGAGATCGAGGCGATAGCTGGGTACTGCTGCTGCCGCTGTCACGGTCCATCTCCCGGGTTTGTAAAAATAAATCAAACGTGGAAACAACTGAAGTGTTTCGATTACCGTAGTCCCCGAGCACGTGGTATCCATACATGTATTATTACGATCGTTATCATTGTTGTGACTGTCATTGCCGTCGTACCGGTAGGGGCCGGACTGTGCTCGGCGGTTTGCGTTCACAATGACGACTGCTGTGTTTTAAGGGGAAGTTCAATACTGTATTGGGAGTGTCTGCGCGTTTGCTGTGCAAACCTTCAAATGAATTTATCTTTTCGCTTCCCGAGCGGCTGCGCTCGCGTGTCGTTCGTCCGCACGCGGGCGGCGGGGGCGGTGGCGCGGTGGTTAGCGCACCGTGCTACGAACCAAACCGTGGGAGGACACGAAGGGGGGGTCTTCGTACGTGTGTATATATTTCAATGGGTTGCATCGTTAACAACCACCGATCACTGATTATATATTTTTTTCGAGTGAGCAAGTGAGCATATCTGTGCGTGCGTGCGTGCGTGCGCGCGTGTGTATATATATTTTTTAGGTTCATCACGTCGCACACCACGGCTGATCGCCGCTACGAGGCGCAAATTTGCGAACTCTCTCGAAAGCCATCGGGACGTTTTCTTTGTTATTTTAATTGGGACCCAAGGTTCGTCCTCCCCCCGGACAGCAGCAGCAGCGGCAACGGCGGGCGGTCTCGTGGCCCCGGCGACATGACGGGGGTGATGATGCACTGTTAACGCGACCGTCTCTGGAGAAAGGGGGGCAATAGACACGGGCGGATTCCCATGACCCCCCCCCCCCTGCTGTAAGCGTCGGTTAACCCTAACGCTGTCCCCGACCACTTGACGACCTGTTGATTTATTGCGACGAAGATGACGACGGTGATGATGATGATGATGTTAAGGGGCTTGAATTTCCCAACTGAATATTTTTTTTTCTCAGTCACTGGTGGACTTGAAGCACGTGGCTAGGTAGTGACGGGCATACTTGATGTGGTGTGCCGGGATGCGGTAAAATGTTTTGTTGGTGCGAGGGCGGGGGAGGAGGAGGCTGCTGATATACGTAAAAGGCACGGCTGAAATTCTAGCCCCGTTGAGGATGACGACGCTTGATGATTTATTGCGGAGATGATGATTAATGATGATGATTACTACTAATGCTACTATTGCTATTGTTGTTATCAAAGAGTAAAAAACAAACAAAAAAAACTGGAAGTGTTGAAAACCGTCACGATTGAGCAGTTTTAGAAAAATGTAAAAAAAAAATTAGATGCTAAAAAAATCGAACGCTTGTAAAAAAAAAGAAATTAATTTTGTTTAAGAAAATATTATAATTATTACAAAAAATGAAACTCTCGGATTTGAAGAGGCAATCGTAAATGGTGCTGGTTCACCTGAATTTCTGTTTGTTGTCGTCCCCCTCTCTTCGTTATGACGACGACGACGATTGCCGGTGATGCGATTGGGACGTGCGCGTGCCCACTTGCTCGTCTCGGTGATGATGACCCCATCATCGTAGCCGCTCTGCTAACTCTGACCCCTCTTACGCGGGGGGGGGGGGGGGTGTGGCGATGATACCGTGAGCGGGGGTCCGCACGTCTCTGTGAATCACAGCTAACAAACGCCACCGGCCACTACTGATGGAGGAGACTTCTCGCGGATTCCCAAGCCCTGTACAAACTCCATCCCCCCCCACCCCCCTAAAAAAAATAAAACATGCAGCTGACATCCCGTGTAATTTTTTATTAAAATAAAATAATACAAATTAAAACCTTACAAAAAATGAAACCTGTATGTAATGAGTAAATAACAACGACCAATATACTGGTGAGAGGTTTCCTGACAATCGGTTACAAAAACAACAACGAAAACGGACTCCCGTTTGTGCGATTTATGTTTCTTCTTCATCATCATCATCATTATTATTGCGGTAATAATCACGATGTCCACGACACACGCAATGCCCTCCAGACGCGGACCCGCTCGAGCGGAGTCCGTTCGGCCAGCGTCCACGTGAGGAAGCGGTCGCCCCGGGCAGGGTTGGGGGGGGGGGGGGGTGCTCTCCACACCGTCACGTAAACCTCCGTCCGTACGAGGAGGGTGGGCACCCTGCGTAAGCTGTAACCTTCGCCGTGCGGCACGTTAGGTCCGAAACGAGATTCGAAATGCATGCCCCGTATGTGCCCCCCCCCTCTGAAGACACGAAACGAAATCATAATATCACACCGCGGTGGTGGCGCCGACGGCATCGGCTCTCAGCTGCTGTACATACAACGTAACCCCGTTCTCCTTTGTAGTTTTTTTTTTGGTTCTCTCCGTTATATTTTTGTTTCGTGTCTTGGGTTTATTTTGTATTGACACTACGAAAATGTAAGCATTGCTTATAACAAAAAAAGGCATTTTCAGTTTATACAAATGTTTTGAGTATTTAATTTTTGTATTCTGCACTTGTACCAATAAAACACGGTAAGACGCAGCGATGGACACTGTGCGGACGACTGCTTATGTGGCTGGGTGCTGTGTTGGCTGCGTGGGTGCTGTGCTGACTGGCTGGGTGTTGTGCTGGCTGGCTGGGTGGGTACTGTGTTAGTTGGATGGGTGGGTGCTGTGTTGGCGGGGTGGGTGCTGTGTTGGCTGGCTGGGTGGGTACTGTGTTAGTTGGATGGGTGTGTGCTGTGTTGGCGGGTCGGTGCTGTGTTGGCTGGCTGGGTGCTGTGTTGGCGGATTGAGTGCTGTGTTGGCTGGATGGGTGGGTGCTGTGTTAGTTGGATAGCTGGCTGGGTGGGTGCTATGTTGCCTGGATGGGTGCTGTGTTGGCTGGATAATGTGACGTGTTGGCTGGATGAGTTGACGGGTGAATGTTTTGGCTGGTTGATGTGGTAGCCATGTGTGTGGGTAATTTGTTGGGTCGATCGGTGATGTGTTGGCTGGATAGATGGGTCCTGTTTTGTCTCGGTGGATGGTTGATGTGTTGACTTGGTAGATGGGTCATGCATTGGCTGGAGTAGATGTCTTGGTATTGAGTGGCTGGGTGGATGGGCACAGTGTTAACTGTGTGATTGGGCACTGTGTTGCCTGTTTAGATGGGTGCTATGATGGCCGGGTTGCTGTGTCAGATGACTTTCGGGTGGCTGCGTGAATGCGGTGGTCATGCTAATAATGTCCGTTTTTGCGCGGGGAGGGGGTGGCACAGATGTAGAGCTGTATTGGGAGTCAACGGACAGATGCCGTTTACCGTAAAGCAGTCGCGCGACTCAAGTTCAATCTGGGCCCGAGGCCAGCACAATTCTCTTTGGTTCAGAAAACGTGTGATCTGAACTCTGCACGCATTTTCTTATTATAAAGTGCCGACTTGTTCTAGACGCACCGAGTGGCACAGCAGCCGCAGCGCGTGACTCAATCACAAGATGACGAGTTCCCATCCTGATTGTGGTTTGACTCAGTTGTTAAGTTCCTCACGTCGGGGGTGTGTGGGGAGGGCAACACCAGTGACAGATTGTCTGAACCGATCCTGGGCCTCCCCTGGGTCGACTCAGCCTCAAATAAGTACCTTGTGTTGTGTGTAAATATAGTCGCTGGGGAGGCAACACATGTGGTGAGGCGTAGTGCTGGCCACCCACCCCCTCGGGTATCGTGCTGGCCTTCAGAGGTGTTCGCTCACGGCACTTTCCCCAAAAAGTCTGCTGCTACGGCCATACGGGGAATCTTTGTCTTTGTAGCTAAAATGAGTACTGCTTTTGTGGGAAGTCGGCGGCGGTTGCCGTGAATGCGTCGCACCAACTCCCGTCACAGTAATGTGGGATTTCCAAAGTGCTGGCTCAGGGCTGTATGAATATGAGTTGAATGCCGGTAACTTCGCCGGTTGTTTAAAGCAGGACAATCGCCCCCAAATATTCCTTTCTTACGTTCTCACGAGCGCACTACGACTCAATCGCTAGCAATGTGAAAAGGTTAAAACTGCGTTTTGTGTTTAGTTTGTTGTCCTTCCCCGGCACCTCCGATAAGGACGGTTGGCTACATGCGGTGCGAAAGAATGTTCAACATACATGCTTGCAAACGCGCGCCTTTCGTCAATCCACTGCTGGATGAAGACCTCCCCCCACGTGTGTAAAAGTTAAAGCCTGCACGCAGGGCTCATTGAGTGAAATTTTTACGTCAAGAGAGGGAAAAAATTAGATCGGATAAATCAAAACCGTTCCATTTCTTTCTTTCCAGAAGCTACTGTGCACAGTTCAAGCATATCCAATAATTCAAGCGTGCGGGGTGGAAAGTCGTTTTGAAAAAAAAAACCTCCCGTGAGCCTGAACTCACCCCGCTATTTTTCACGTAACTTCCAGTAAAGTAAAAAAAAGACGAAGTTTGTTTTATAGTTTCCCCCCCCCTCCACCCGTTTCTTTCTTGGCCAAGAAAAATGAACGTCTTGTGAAGAGTGCCGTGAAAAGTGAGCTCGCGACTTTTGAGCGTATGAATGATTGGGTTATTTCAATGTTTGTACATTCTCAATGGCGAGTTTTTTTTTATAATGCTCGTAAGCATTTGATGAACGTTATACAAAAAACTGGACTGATTGTGTTTGTACTCTGGAAGAAATCTATTTTGTCAGGAGCATCTTGCTGCCTTGGAATGCTTGGCCCAATTTCTAATAAAATTCCCATGGAATAAGTGGCACTCATTTGTTATCATAGTTATGAATCATGGTTATACTCTATAGTGGTGATGATGATGATTGGCCAATTGACCGTAATTGTGAATAATAATGATTTTTATTGACAATGCTGCTACTGCTGTCGATGATGAATATTATTTTCATGATCATCATTAAATCTTGACTTAAAGCTTTCGTGACTCTTGGAATTCACATTCTTTGGGTCTTTCGGTAAAGTCACGTAGATAGGTTCAAAGAAAATAACAAAAAACCACGACGTTTTGATCGCAACACAAGCAGTCGTCATCAGGAAAAGGGGGTTAGCTTCTAAAGGCAAACTGTTTATAAAGGTTTGAAATGGCGTAGCCCAAATGTCAGCAGCATGGGCGGGGCAGCTTATGTTAATGTAAGTGGTGGGCGGTGACCGCGACGGTGGGTTTTCCACCAATTGAATGACTTTATCAACCAGTTTGTCATAACTGGCTGTGAAGTTCCCATCCTACCACCTTCCGATGTTCGTTGTTATTTTCGGCTCTCAGATTTTACATTAACAGGTAAAATTTCTCACACTAACACAGCCACCTTCGCGCGCCGACCTCGAGATTGCAGCCCTGCGATCTCCAATTAACATGCTAATCTCTCACATTAACATGCTAATCTCTCACATTAACATAGCCACCTCAGCACGCTCACCGTGGAGGCCGCTCACGGATCTCACATTAACATGCTAATCTCTCACATTAACATGCTAATCTCTCACATTAACATGCTAATCCCTCACATTAAAATAGCCACCTCAGCACGCTCACCGTGGAGGCCGCTCACGGATCTCACATTAACATGCTAATCTCTCACATTAACATGCTAATCTCTCACATTAACATGCTAATCCCTCACATTAACATGCTAATCCCTCTCATTAACATGCTATTCCCTCTCGTTGACATGCTAATCTCTCACATTAACATAGCCACCTCAGCACACTCGCCGTGGAGGCCGCTCAACCGATCTCCAATTAACATGCTAATCTCTCACATTAACATGCTAATCTCTCACAATAACATGCTAATCTCTCACATTAACACGCTAATCTCTCACATTAACACGCTAATCTCTCACATTAACACGCTAATCTCTCACATTAACACGCTAATCTCTCACATTAACACGCTAATCTCTCACATTAAAATGCTAATCTCTCACATTAACACGCTAAACTCTCACATTAACATAGCCACCTCAGCACGCTCGCCGTGGAGGCCGCTCACCGATCTCACATTAACATGCTCATTTTTATCTGGCAGCCCTTCAATTGGTGGGAAACCCACAACGTCGCGGTCACCGCCCACCACTTACATTAACATTAGCTGTCCCGCCCATGCTGCTGACATTTCGGCTACGCCTATTTTAAACCTTTAAAAACAGTTTGCCTTTAGAACATAACCCCCTTTTCCTGATGATGACCGCTTGTGTTGCGATCAAAACATCGTAGTTTTTTTTGTTATTTTCTTTGAACCTATCTACGTGACTTTACCGAAAAACCCAAAGAATATCATCATCGTCATCATTATTATTTTAAGTCAAAGTGTCTAACAGATCGAGCAATTCTTGCAGCAGCACTCATCCCCTTTATGGGTCACGAGTCTCTGGAAATTCCACATTCCTTAGAGCTGTGTCAAGAATATTTATTGGAAGACGACTCCTAAATTCCACACCAATTGGCACCCCGTTTTTCACTCCTGTGATGGTGCTGTTGATAATGACAACGTACTGAATCAATCGCCAACCTGGAGTTGAACATTCAACCTTCCCAAGGACGGGTATATTGCAGTAAACTTGCAAGCGAAAAGCAGAGCACGACGTGTTATATTCATTGCATCCATTTATGTGCAATTTGTAAGGTCGCGGTGACACAGACTTATTTCATTTAAAGGTTATAATCCCTTGTTCATCATAGCGTCATTTTTACTTCTATGTCTCAACAGCGTCACGGAGATCACGTGACGTGAGGGTTCTGCCTTTGTAGTGAGGGTTGTAAGTTGATGCTGAGGAGGGGGGAGGAGGCGCCTCGCCCCCCCCCCCCATGTGGAGTGACGTCACCCGTTAATTATTATTAATGGATGGGGGGGGGGGTGTCCATTTGGAAGACGTCACCTCTTCATGATTATTAATGTAGGGGGCTGTTTGATGTGGAGTGACGTCACCCGCGTTCCACATTGACATTCTAAATATAGTAAAATATAGTAATATAGTAGTAAACAACAAACTATAATAATATAGCAGTAAATAACAGACACTGTAGAGCCCGTTATGTCAATATGCACTGCTGGATGAAAGCTCCATCATGCCATGTGGGTTATTTGACCATACTTCACCACGCGGGCGAGTACGAATTCGCGAAGGGGGTGGCGGGGGTGGGGGGCTATCGTAGCACAGTAGAGGTTTTCCACTGCACTGCCCTCTGCTGACCACCAGGCAAGCGGACGCGCGCATGATGGTAGCCCCGTGAGACCGTCTTCAAATCGTAGCGCGCCGCACAGAATTTGCTCGCTCTCGAAGCCAGAGAGAGGACGACTCAAATGCGCGAGGAGCCACAGACGAGCGAGCAGGAAGGCGGCCACGTGGTGAGTCGGCGCCAACAATTGACTCAAGCTCTGCGGTCCTCTTATCTACGAAGGCGTTATCAACCAAGTAAACTAAAACTCTTTTTCAGAAGCGACCTGACCACGACTAATAGCTCAACGAAGTGGCGTATCACCGTTGACATTTAGAGCAGCCAAAATCATCTCAAGCGCATATTTATAAACGTGGAGGTTGGAAAACCCGGAGGACGCGGGGG